TTTAAAAAATGGCGCTTTTTTTGTGAAAATTGGCGTTTTTGAGCTCACTTAAAACCATTGAGAAGTTATTATTTTATTGTGATTTTTACATGTGGTATTGTATAGTGTATAATCTATGTTTCATCTAAATTTCAAATATTTAAAACAATTATCTTGGGATTTAGAGGCCTATAAAGTTAGAAATTTTATAAAAATACGTATTGTTATTAATCTTCAATTTTACGATGAAAAAATTAAAGGCATAAAATATCCACCTCAGAAGGTGCAGAATGCAGAATGGCATTAATTTGCTTTGTGTTATGACAAAATAGGCTAGCGATGGAGTTGGTTGAACAGCAAAAAGAAAAGTAACAAAATGTATCAAAATTAATTAATTAAAATTAATCACAGATTTCTATCAATTAATAACAATACCATAAGAAGTCTTAAGATATCATTAACTGACATTTATGAAGACACAATATTCAAACTACTAAAAAAACCATGATTATAAATATTTTACAATATTATCATAATAATTTAATTTATTTATTTTTTATTTTCGAACTAAAATAATGAATTGAATATTTATAACGTGTCTAATAATTATATTGAATTATAATATATTACATATACAATGATATACAAAAAAAATTACAAAAATGTGGTTTGAAAACAACAAAAAACTATCATTAAATTATTTGATTTTTACTGATTTTCTAATGCTAAATTTTACATGTTACACATTTTTCTAAAACTTTAAATTTTTATGGTGTATATAACAGATATATATCTACAAAACTAAAAAAAATTTTTTTTGGAAATTAGGTTACCCAACAGAGATATTGCACTTAGAATACACGTATTTTTATCAAATTTCTAACTTTATAGGCCTCTAAATCCCAAGATAATTGTTTCAAATATTTGAAATTTAGTTGAAACATAGATTATACACTATACAATACCACATTTAAAAATCACAATAAAATAATAACTTCTCAATGGTTTTAAGTGAGCTCAAAAACGCCAATTTTCACAAAAAAAGCGCCATTTTTTGAAAGTCATTAAAGTTTAGAATTTTACAAAAAAATTTTTTTTTTTTTTATATAAACTTTAAGTTATAATAGGGTCAAATCTAAAATTTTAATTCGATTGAGTTGAAATTGAATAATCTGTGTGTCTTTTAACGATCTAGCTATTTTTAACTTTTTTTACATTAATATAGCCATAAAAAAAACCCAGCACAGGGTGGTCGCGGCACAGTGGTGACGTGGCATAGTTGGATCAAGTATAATAATATCTGACAGTGATTAAAATCACTATAAAAAAAAACGCTTCGATGCAAATCTTTAGAGTGTTTAACTTTAAAAAATTGGTGTATTATTCCAAAAGCTACATGATCTGCTAGTTCCTTATTAATATCTTGATTAAGATAAAGTATGTCGAATGAAAAAGGATTATTAAAAAATATTATTTCTCATAAAAAAATTGTGTTGATCCATACACTTTTCAAAAAGTTATAGCATTATAAAGTTAAATATAATATAAAAAATAAAATCGAGAATTTTCACACGAAAATAGCATTCGATAGCCATTTTCGCCATGAAGACAAGTCCAGAGGTCAAATTTTTTTTTTTTTTAATTTAAGTATATTATATTAGCTTTAATTTAAGATATATATAAAAGTGTCAGACCTTCCGGAACATTTTCAAAATTTAAGTTGAAAAAGTTGTCATTTTAAATCCCCCCCCTGTGGGCAGATAAAGGGTCAGATTTAAAAAAAATATATCAAATGATAGGTAAAGACATCAAACATCTATTAAAAAAAAATTATATTGATATGTTCATTTTTGAAAAAGTTAGAGCATTATTAAGTTAAAAATATAAAAAAAAATTATTTAATTAGCGATTTTTAAATTTGTAATTTTTTTGGAGGNTTAAATAAGTTTAACTTTCTCTAATGTCAACTTTCACCATGAAGACAAGTCCAGAGAAAATCTGTAGTCCCCTTGTCAGATATTTTAAAATAAAATAAAATACAAAACCCAGAATTTTAACACAAAAATAGCAAATTTTTGAATACGGTAGTCATTTTTACCGTGAAGACAAATCCAGAGGTCACATTTTTTTTTTTAAATTAAAGTATATTATATAAGCTTTAATTTAAGATATATATAAAAGTGTCAGTCTTTCCGGAACATTTTCAAAAGTTAAGTTGAAAAAGTTCTACTTTCTATACGCATTTTAAAAGGTTTGCACCCCCCCTGTATAAAGGGAAATGGTCCGATTTTAAAAAAAAGTATGTCGAATGAAAGAAGTATATATAAAGTATTTATCATTAAAGAATAAAGTTGATTCATGCATTTTTTAAAAAGTTATAGCAACATAATGTTAAAAAATGTAAAATATAATATCAAGAATTTTTTCACAAAAATAGCATATTTTTGCATACGGTAGTCATTTTCACCATGAAGACAAGTCCAGAGGTCAAATTTTTTTTTTTCAAATTAAAGTATATTACATTAGCTTTAATTTAAGATATATATAAAAGTGTCAGTCTTTCCGGAACATTTTCAAAAGTTAAGTTGAAAAAGTTAATTTTTTGTAAAAAAGTTACCATTTTGAAACCCCATCCTTTGGGCTGTTAAAGGGTCAAATGTTCACAAAAATATATAAAATGATAGGTAATTATCTAAGGTATCTATAAAAAAAAAAATTATATTGATTCGGTCATTTTTAAAAAAGTTATGGCAATTTTAAGTAAAAAAAAATGAAAAAATATCAAAAATTAGCGATTTTTAAATTTGTAATTTTTTGGGGGATTTCCCCCGTTTACGAGGAACGAGGGATTTTTTTTCAATTTTTGAGGGTAATGTCTTCGACTAGATACGATTTGTGATCTTTTGACGTATCGAAAGAAATCCGTTCGGTGAGAGCTGAGAAAAAGTGATAACAGACAAAAAAAAAAAAAAAAAATTGTTTTAATCTAAATATAGCATAATGAATAAACCCCGAAAATTTCAGAAAAATATGAGGTGGTCTTGCAACCACTTCTGGATGATTTTGCATGGATTGACCCTATAATGAAAATATATCAAACTCAATACTTACAACCATCTGGATGTTCTTCAGTAACAGATGGCTTTTCGGAACCTTTTTCAACATCAATTGATCGTTTCAAAATATTTTCAATTCTTAATTTTTCTTTTTCGGGCAATTTCCATTGTTCTTTTTGAACTTTTTTTAGTGTAATATTGGTTAAAATGCAATCAAATTCTGTAAAAAATTAAAATTAACTTTAATAGTTTACATTTTCAAACAAACATACAAAAATAAAGTTTTCATCATCAAAAAAATGTAATTTTTTTAATTAAAGTATTATCATTTTATAAAATATTTACAGTATATTACAAATATATAGTAAGAATAGTATATTTATCTATATTAACATTATTGTACCCGTATGATCATAAAAATCAGGAGTAAATTCATCATCAGGATGTTGAGCTAGCCATCGTATACGAATCCTTCGGCTTGCTCTATGAATATTTTGCATTGCTTGACATAAATAAAATCCACCTTCTTCATTACGCACTGCTAGAAACTCATTTCTAAAAAAAAAACCAACAAAATGACATTCATAAAATAAAAAAAATTTATGTATAAGAGTTAAAATGATTAATAAGAGGGTTATCTATTTATCATAACACATTCAATTACTCATAGAATAAAAATATTATTGAAATTATTATAACTTTTGGTTACTTTTAGTTATACATTGTTCTTGAATTATTAGTAAGGCTGAAAATTATAAGTATTTATACATTTTTTTTAGTTATTCTGCACACACTAATATACACAATACAACATTCTATTAATTTATTTGAAAACATAGTAATAGTAATCTATTGTTACCAAGGTTATAATTTTGGGGTGTTTATATCCTATTTAAACAAAAAATATTTCTATGTTACTAAATAATCCTATGATTAAATAAAGTGCATAAATTTAGGTCCCATCCAAGTAGTTCAAACATAATAATTATTTAGAAACGCATATAATTCCCAGCCCTAATTATTAGCAATGTAATAATTTTAAAATTTATCCTTATGTTTTGAAAGGGTGTCAACTATATTATTTCAAATGGAAACATAGTTTTAATTTTTTTAATTAATAGATAATTATTTTTATTTTATATCATAGGAATTTTTAACTTGACTTACTTAGTTAATTATAATATCAAATTATAACACTAAAGGTTAAATTTTTGGAGGTAAAAACATGTATAATAATTGATGGATTAAAAATACAGTTACTTAATTGTAATAAAGTTATCACTTTAAAAGGAATAAACTTAAAAAGTATTAAATAACTAATAATAAAAAAACAATATGTAACATACAAAAAATACATTTATTCTGTGAGTAACTGAGTAGGTTATGATATCAGTTGATTGATGCATTCTGTATATTGACATCTCCCATAAATAATTAAATTATGTCCTTTTTCCTAGGAGTTGGTGACAAGTACAGGATAAGAAAATTTTGTTACTAATTTTTCTCATCAATATTAAATTAGTTTAACATTTAAAGTTAGTAAAGGATAGAAGTAAACACAATATTATCATTCTAATATTGATGAATATATATATATATATATATATAATTTTTTAATTTATTGAGAATTATGATTGAAAAAAATTAAAAAACTTTTAAGAACACATAACTTTTACTTAATCTGTCTTAAAAAATTATTATAAATTTTTTTAAAATATTTTATACCGAGCGTCTCCTATTTAATGACCATACCTTATATGCATTATAGAAAATAATTGTACTAATTTTTCAATGACTATTGTATTGAGCGTTTGATTAATTATTTATGATATAGAAAATATAGAAATCATACTTTTAGCATGATAAAAAAAAATAAAATAGACTTTGTCAAAACAATACTTAAAATTTTTTTAGTAGACATAGTAAACTTAGAACTTGGGACCTTTTATTTGCTTGATGAGAGCTCTTTTGATTTAATATAGTTTTTAATTTTACAAACTAATCAAAATAATTCTCTTAACCATTTCCAATATAACCTAATGTTAGTAAATTGTAAATGGAGCCAAAGAGTAAAATTTAGATATAAGAGAATGGTGCAATGTATCTAAATTAAAATTAACTATTAAATTTGGTGTATCATTCCCAAAGATTTATCTTTTTGCCTAATAAATTCATCAATCATGGTAACTCAATAATTACAGTATTTGACTGACTATTGATAGGTGTTGAATGAAATTAAGTATTTTAATGATTACAAATGAAATGTATGAAAACACTATTATAATTACTTGTAAAATACTGTTAATTTCTCATTTGATGTCTTAGGAGAAGCTGTTTTTGTAGTAATTTTAGATATAAGCTGCATTTCTGGCAATAAAGACAACTGGAAAGGTTGTGTAGGAAGGCGAGTTCGTTTTGATTTAACTTCTTCAATTGGTTTATCTTCATTTGATACTTCATCTTGAACTTCATTATTTTTATTATCTAATTGCTAAAAAAAAAATAAACAATTTATTTATTTTCTGATCATAGATAAAGATGAATTAAAATTTGGACATATTAGGATGATTAAAATCTACTTTACTAGACACCCTTATTTTTTAATTTGTTCAGTTGTTAATTCTGACAAAAATAACTACAAAATGTTGAGCAGCAATAAGTATTTTAAAAGTTACAGCAATTTAAAGTTTATAAGTTAGTTAATTTAGAATATCTTAAAAGTCAGGCTTTACTTTATAAACAGAGTTTCTTATTAAAATCAATTTAAAACAATGTCATCAACAAACAACTCTATAATCATACTAATTATGATCATACAAAATTATAGCATTCAGACAATCAATTATAAATTTTCATTTTCACTATCATTTGTTTTAAACAATACTTAATTTCCAATTTTTTTTTATAAAATTATTTTATTGAATAGCAAGTACTAGATAATAGTATGTTTACACTATATTACAATGTACAACTATAATAATGCGACCTTATTGGTAGGCGATTATTATCAGTGGAAGGTTGTCTATCTAAGGTAATAAATGCCATAAAAATAATATCAATTATATATAATAACTGTCAGTCGTGAGTCTAATTTTGATGATAAAAAAAAGTAAAGTACCTTATGACTTTATCCTTATTTTAACAGATTATGAGACTTCGTTATTTTTATGAAAACAAAATAAAACTCCCTTTCCATTATGGTCTTTTTTTGTTTCAAACTCATATAATAGTTATTAAAAGGGCCACTTAAAGTTCATAAATGTTTAGCATTAAAACACTATAATTTAATGTAATATTGCATGGGAGAGGGTAACTATCCAACCAAGGCTACTACTGGATAAATATCCTCTGTAAAATAGTATTTCCAAATATATATATAGGTTTTCTGGTTGTTATATCATAAACAAGAAATATATATATATATAACACTTATTTTAACTCTTTTAAAATAAGCATGAAAAACAAGTTTTAAAAAAAAAAATGTTTGGTAAAGTAGATTTGTCACAAATTAGATTTCAAAATATAGTATACTTTCTGTTCTTTTTTTCTTCTTACTCCTGCTACTTTTGAAGCATTAATGGGTAATAAGTGTTCGCTTTTCTCAGGTGTCAAAGTATCACTCGCACTAACGTGTTTTTCTTTTTCACATTGGATAGAAGTTAAAGCTTCTGTAGGAGGTTCTTGTTTAACTTGAGGCTCATTTTCATCTTGTTTAACAGCTACTGGTTTAGTTTTTTCTTCAACTTTGACAGGTTCACTTACATTTATTTCAACCGGAGGAAATTCATTTTCAACTTTGTCTGGCAAGCTTACTTTTTCCTCTTTTTTTTTTGATAAATTTTCAACTTCAGTTACTGTATTAACAATATCTGTAGTCGTTGATGTAGGATTATGTATTTTTAGATTTGATGTAGGCACATTAGCACATTTATTCCCAGCAAAATTATGCTGTGATGCTATAATAGGTTGTTCAGGTTTAGGAACTACATCTTCTACTTTCTTTTCAATTGGTTTAACATCTGATACACCGTTACAAGGGACAGATTTTTTAATAATTGCATCATTAGAACATGCTAATAATGTTGGATTACCATTATTTGTATTTTTGTTTTCATTTACAAGGCTTAAAGGTTGAGCAGTTTGTGCTACATTATTCAAGTTGAGCGGTGTTACACTTGGTGGAGTTTGTACTTTAGGTTGTGAGCTGTTAGTAATATTAGGTGTCAATACTGGAGGTGATAATGGTTGTTTTACTGGAGAACTCATAGCACCAACAGTGTTCATTTTAAGATTATTATTTCAATCTAAAAAATAAAGTATATCATATAAATAAGTAAATTAATTACAATCTTAATTCATAAGAATAGTTCAAATTGCTCGACTTATACATGACTATAAGTAATTTGTTTAAAAATTCCATATCTGTCTATCTTTATATTATTTATGTATATCAAGAGGATTATTTTATCAACCTCCAATTATTATTATTTATTTAGCAATTACAATTTATGAAACAAGCAGCAAAACCCCAAAACACTTCTTTATATACCCCTTGTATAGTTGCAAAAATAAGATACTTTTTCTTTAAGAAAAAAAAAAGTAAATAAGTAAAAGTATATTATAAAGTTTTAAGAATTTCAGGGAAAATCATATAAAAAAACCTGCCATATCCATGATTTTCTCAGATCATTATAAAATTTTCCTTATTTTCACACTTATAGTAACTAGGATTATTGAATAGATTATTTGGATATTGATAAGCACTACTTTTTCACCTGTCACTATGTATTATTAAATAAAAGACTATATAGTAATTAAACTAAATAATATAACTTTAATGACAGACATATAATAACAAAAAAACTAAAAATTTAGCACTCATCATTTTAATTGTTACACTAAAAACATTAAATAAGATCTAGACAAATTTATTGTAAAATAATTGCATAAATTCATTGAGAACACTATTGACAGATATCAATATATTTTAACGTGATAATAACAACATACAATTCTTAAATAAGCAATATCGTGAGCATCTTAAGTTAATAGATTAACTTTGAATAAATATTCACATAATTATTAATTTTTTACCTTGCTTCGTTTATAAATTAGGCATATATTGAAACCAATAGACAGAACTTTGAATTGTTCCGCCCATAACACACGGTAAATAAAACACAGGCTGGATTTCAGCACAGGCCAATAGTCTCTAAATGAAAAAAGTATAATATAAAATAATACTTGATTTAAGCAATAGTTTAACAAAATAGTAAAACATTAATTTACATACACAAACACTAAAACAACGAATACAAAAAACGACACAAATCGAACCACTTTGCACAAACACAACAACAAACGAATCAACAAACCCGACTCGACTTTAGAATTTACAATACAATCCGGTAGTTGATGGCGTCATTTTTTAAACAGTGCAGCCAACCAAAGCAAAGATGTTTATTGAGTTTGTTACACTGTCCAGTCCAGCCGATAAAATAGCCTTATTTATAAAATAACATGTGAAATTTACAACATTAGTATGGAAGTCGATTTTTTCCAAAACGTCTTATTATAGTAAAAAATATATATAACTGTAATAAATAATAAATTATCATTACCTACACTTAGGTAGTAACACATGATATGTTCAAGGAGTTGAATTATATACTGCTTAAGTGGAATTTCATTGTTTGTTAAATTTTTTCAAGGTTTTCAACATATTTATAGCTTATAAAAGCGCAAAAAATGTTTTTTTCTTTTAGGAAACGAGTTTAAAACGTTTACAACTTTTATCAATATATATATTATCCATTTTTAATACAATCTTTTAGTGACACAATTTTTACTTTCAATTTTATTTACCATTAACAATACTCCAAATCATGATGTAAAGTATTATTTATAAATTTATAGACATTCTTTCTTGATTGGATTTCTATCCCAAATTTTTTTTCCACATTTAAAAATTTAAAAAATATCCTTACCAAGTTATCCTTTGTAAGCGTGTGAATCATAACATAGATTGATGGTAGGAGTAGAATGTCAACAAAAAACGTGGTAGAGGGATGGAAAGTTCAAATAATTATAACGAGTTAGAAAAAGCAATTTAAAGTATAACAAGAAGAGAGAAGAAGACAAAATACAATAGTCTATGTAAAGAAGCAAAAGGTTCAGTATATAAGGCAAAGTTTAAGAGATATGACGAATTGTTTGATAGTTTAAGAACAAAAGGTGAATAAGAAATTTATAGATTGGCGAAGATTAAAGAAAATCAATCCAAAAATTTCCAAAATGCATGGTTTATAAAAATTGATGATAAGAGGGTTAATGAATTTATATGTGAAAAATATATAGAGAGTAGTTTGAAAAATCGCTGATTGAAGAATATCCAAGAGCTGCTTTAGAAGATATTTCGTGGAACGAATGACTGATAGATTTAATTATACGAGGAAAAAGTATGGGGGGTTGTGAGAATAATGTAAAAATAAAAGACAGAAGGACTTGATCAAGTGCCAGTGAAAATGTGGAAAATTCAACGGGATCTAAGCATAAGGTGGTTGAAAGATCTTTTTAATAAAATCTTGATAGAAATTGCTAAAAAAGCGGAGGAAAGTTTTGTGGTACCCGTATTTAAAAGCAAAAGAGATATAAAGAAACGTGGAAATTCTAGAGGCATAAGTTCATCAGTCATAATAATATTATATTATGAAGATATAGGAACAGATGAAAGATAAGAGAATAAGAAGTGAGACATCAGTAACCAAAAACCAGTTTGATTTTGTCAGGATAGTCAACGATGGAATCGTTATTTTGTGTTAAACAGTATTAGTCGAATTTGTTTTCCGAGTATTATTATTTATTTTTTGATTGGTGTATAAAAAAATATGGTAGAACAGTATAATTTATTTCTATAAAATTTTAAACTATTGGTTCAGTGAAAGTTTATAACAAACAAAAGTGGCCTAGGGGTCAGGTTTAAAGGTTTGGTTTGAAGAACATTTAAAAAACATTAAAAATCAAGAAATTGATAAATCTCCTTTAGCTAAACATTTATTGAAACATAATCACTTTTGTAAAATTTTGTACGTCAGTTGCGTGATAAGTGATCACGTGTTGCCTGTCGCACTCCTCTCTAGGCTCGTTCTCACTCTTGTCTCTTTCGATATCAGTCGTCCACCTATTAATTTGATAATCGGTAATAATCGTGCATTCCCCAACTTTGACATTGAATACTTTACCTACAAATTTTGACGCCCTTTTGCATATCTGCTATTAGATGGTTGTGTTTTCTTTGCGACGTAATATGTAGTGTTCGTTTCTGACAATTTTAGAACACATATTAGTGATTATTTACGTATTGGAATATTATTATTTAACGATTATATCAAATTCTTTTTGCGTAACGGTGTTTATTAAACGAGTGACTGTCCTAAATAGTTATCATAAACCTAGTGTCTATGTTAATTTTGTGTTTGTTCTCTACATTACCACCAATCCTTTGGATTATGAATTAGTGGAATGCAATGTAATGCCGTACATAAAATAGTAATGAGTGTTTGATGGATTTTGTTTAAGGGCTTAAATGTAGTGGTTAAAATTAGAGAAGACTGAGAGGGAAGTCTCCCTTCTTATTTTTGGAGTACAGTCTAGTGCCCTCTTTTAGTCAAACCCCAAAATATCGAGGGGACGTTTTAATTTTGAGCACTGAAGATAGGAAAGCGTTAATATAAAAACTTTATTCAAATGGTCAAAATTGTTAAAAAATAATAATAATTGTAGAAGAACTTAAATTATGAAATGATCAGAATTTTATGATACGACCGTGGTAATATGAGCACTTGAAGTTTGGTCGACCGTAACGATAATAATTATTATATTGTTATTTGTTCTAGATTATTCAAAAGTTGAATTAATTAGTTCTTTAATATAAGCTTAAAAAACATGTAATTAATCTATGACTATATCTATACATGAAACTCTAAGACTTATTATATTAAAGGTTTTAAAGATTTAATTTGGAAATAAAAATTTAAGGTGATATAAACATTTAATATATTAATGAACCTACCATGGTTGTTGATATATGTTTAGTTTGTTGAATACTTCATAAATTATATTACTATATTAGTTATTAACATTGTTAGTTTTACATACTGTGATCGGTGGTGGTTTGCGAACTTTTGAGAAAGTTTTCGTAACTTCCTACGTCATTTTAATAATTTTCTTAGGTGGACTCAAAATAAATTTTGAGGTTTCTTGACACATTTTAAAAATTTGTTTTTGTAATTTTTAATACGTTCTTGATATTCACTTACTTGTTTTTTAAACACTTCATTGTCATCTTGGATTTATTTTAAAATTCACGAACTGATACAAAAGACTAGAAAAGTGCTGAACTGTTTGTTGAAGAAAGTACTGCATTTTTCTAATTTATGATAACTAGAGGTCGGATTTATATTCTCTTAAAATCCTTAAAATATGATGTTTTTATGTCACATAAAATAGGCAATATATTCTCTTAATATTCTTTTAAAATACCAAATATATGATGTTTTATGTCCTTAGCAAAATATTCTTTGAATATTAAAAAAAAATTCAATTTCAATTTATTTTTTATTAATTTGGTTTTAAATATATTTAATTTAATTAATTTTACAATAACAATTAATTACTATGTATTGTTCAATGTGTTCCGGTGTCATTTTAGTACGCTGGTTTGTAAGAATATTTTTGTAGATGCTGAAAGATCGTTCGAAATCAACCGATGTTACTGGAGAATATTGCAAGTCGGCTACCATAATCGGTGAATAATTTTCCGGAAGTTGTACTGTGTTATTTCCACTAAGAACTTGTCCAATATTTTTTAAAAATTTGTATCCTTTGTTTTTTTGTTGAAGTTGCAATATTTTTGTTTTTACTACTTCTCCTTTTTCTCCTGGTATCTGTTCAAGTTGTGTAAAAGTGTTTTCAATAATATTTATTATATCAACCAAGGGAGTATTTGATTTTTCCAAACTTTTGATAGTTGTAACAATTTGAAGAAAATTAGTTTTAATAAAAATCAAATCATTTTTTACAGACTGTAGGTGTAATATATTTTTGCATTTTTGAATACTGACTGACGACTTTTCTTCACTTAATTTGTCTATAACCTTTTTCAAACACTCAAAATTATCGCAATTAAATACTGCGGCTTCCAGCCAAGTTCCCCATCTAGTTAAAACGGGTTCTGGGGGTAATGGCACATTGGGCAATATTTCTTTGTACACCTGGACATGATATGGCGCTTTTAAAAATACTTTTTTTAGATTACTGATTAATTTATTAACATTTGGAAACATTTCTCTGACCTTCTCTGCAACCCTGTTCATCATATGAGCTACACACGTAACGTGAATTAAATTTGGGTAGAAAACTTTTAGTGTATCACCGGTTTTTGTCATGTATGGAGCTGCATCCGATAACATTACCAACACTTTTTCGTCATTTCCACCCAACGGCCATAATAATTTTAGTCCATCATTGATAAACCGAGCAACAGTGGAATGATTAGTTTTTTCCAAAACTTTGCATGTCAGGAGAAATGGGCGAGTCGGAGTATTTGATTTTAATATTCCCACCAGTAAATTTGCAACGTAACGACCGTTTGTATCTGTAGTTTCATCTACAGCAAACCAAATATTATTTTCACCAATTTCAGTTTTAATTTTCGTTAAAGTATTATGGTAGCATAATGGCTCGAGATAATTTTTACGTAACGCACTTTCATCTGGTATATGTTTGCCAGTGTATTTTTCTAAAAATGTACGTAATTGAGGAACTTGCATTTTATACCAAGGAATATTAGCTGCTACTAAGGCTAGACACAAGTGTTTGTTAAAATCATTTAAGTTGTTTTCATTGAGAGTAGATTCTGATAAAAATAATTGTTTTGATGAAGTATTTAATTTACGTTTTAAACCATTTTTATGGACAGCCGTATGTACATGTTGTGTTACCTGTGATTTTTTTGTGCAAGGAATATTTCTGTCACAAACTTGACAAAAAATTGTTGCACCATTTGTCGTGAAAATCGTTTGTTGGTTATTGTACGACGAAATCCACTGAGCAAATAAACTTTTTAAACTGCTTGAAGTTTTTGGCATATTTGTACGTTATAGACTATAAAATACAATTACTATAACTTAAGTAATATGAGACGAGTGGAAAGACAATATATAAGCAATAATATATCGCACGACTAGTAGACGACGAATAGTCGTGACAGCTTACGAAATAAACGATGTGCTATCGCAATCGATAAGGAATACCTGGAGATTAATTNAAGGAGATAAATTTTTATTAAAACCCAGAAACCCAGAAATAAACCATTTAGTGAACATTGTATTTATTAAAGTGCTGATATACGTCAAATATGTTCATTATATGCCGATATTACAAAAATATTCTCAAATATTCTCTAATGTGTTAAATATTCTCTAACCCCTAAAATATGCTTTTTTATGCAAAATAAATTTTTTCTTGTGAATTCTGTGTTTCATGAATCGTAAAGATTTCTCACTCCCATTTAACTGCATAGACTAGAAACAAATATGTAAAATCATAAAAATCCGACCTCTAATGATAACTATTGGAAAAAATTGCTAATGTAGTTAAAAACATGCTATTTTTGTGTTAAAATTTTCGATTTTATGTTTTTAACTTTAAATTGCTATAACTTTTTAATAAATATACGGATCAACAATTTTTTGTTTCTAAATACTTTATGTATTCCCCTTTTATCCGACATACTTTTTTTTTTAAATCAGACAATTTTTCCTTAAACAGAGGGCGTTCAAAAACTTATATAAAAAGTAAAACTTTTACATCTGCTCTTTCGAAAATGTGTTCAGAAATACAATGTCATTTAAACACATGTGAAATAAAAGCTTATGTTACGTATCATAAGTCAAAAAAAAAATTTCCTACACTATATCTGCCATGTGCAAATTGCTACCGTAGTTAAAAAATATGCTATTGTGTTAAATTTTTTTGTTTCATTTTAGCTTCGATGCGAAGCTGAGAAGGTATTGGTTTTACTATGATGTGTTTTTTTTTTTTATGTCTGTTACCACTTTTTCTCAGCTCTCACCAAACGAATTTCTTTCAACGATACGTCAAAAGATCACAAATCGTATCTAGTCGAAGACATTACCCTTAAATATTGAAAAAATTTCCCCCGTTCCCCGTAAATGGGGGAAACCTCCAAAAAAATTACAAATTTAAAAATCGCTAATTTTCGAAATTTTTTCAATTTTTTTTACTAAAAATTGCTGTAACTTTTTCAAAAATTAACATATCAATATAATTTTTTTTTTTGTAGATGCTTGATGTCTTTACCTATTATTTGGTATATTTTTTTGTAAATTTTACCCTTTATCTGCCCACAGGGGGGGATTTAAAATGACAACTTTTTCACAAAAAATTTACTTTTTCAACTTAACTTTTGAAAATGTTCCGGAAGGTCTGACACTTTTATATATATCTTAAATTAAAGCTAATGTAATATACTTTAATTTGAAAAAAAAAATTTGACTTCTGGACTTGTTTTCACGGTGAAAATGGCTACCGAATGCTATTATTGTGTGAAAATTCTCGATTTTATTTTTTACATTTTTAACTTTATAACATAATGAAAAGTGTATGGATCAACATAATTTTTTTATGAGAAATAATATTTTTTAATAATCTCTTTTTCATTTGACATACTTTATTTTAATCAGGATATTAATAAGGAACTATCAGATCATGTAGCTTTTGGAATAATCCACCAATTATTTAAAATTAAACACAATCTAAAGATTTGCATCGAAGCTTTATTTTTGATAGTGATTTTAATCACTGTCAGATATCATTATACTTGATCCAACTATACCATGGCATCACTGTGCCGCGACCCCCCTGTGCTGGGGTTTTTTTTTTTTTTTGTTATTACTTTATACAAATTCCTTTTATCCGACATAATTATTTTAAATTAAAATACTATACAAAGGGAAACTATATATAGTGATAAGGTTAACTATTTTCATAAAAGTTTTATAAATGTAATCTACATTGAATATAAAGTTAAACTTATTTTTATTTTTTTTGCTAATGTCTATCTCTTATGTTGAGAAATAGACTTAAACTAAAATTTGAACTATTTTAAATTGCCCATTTTTCCATCAAGTGCATTGTGCAATAACTGGAATAATTGGGAAAAATTGGTCCTAATTTTTTACTCAAAAATTTTTTATTTTGATTTTAAACGTATCTTTTAAACATATCTAACTTTAATAAATCATTTTAAAAATAATTTTTTTTTAGTTTAGTACGTGTTCATAAGTGATGAAAAAATGGTTGGACCCAACTCCCTCTTCTCATTTATCAGAGTGTAAATAAGGAAATAGGAGTTCATTATGATGCTTTTGGAATAATATATCAATTTCTTAAAATTAAACACTACCTTGAGATTTGCTTCGAAGCGTTTCTTATGATTGTGATTTTAATATTTTTTATAATTGTCCCAATTATGATATGTCCTCACCACAGATGAGGTAAAATCAGGTTTATCTTATCTTATCTACTGTACTACTGTTCTTTTTTTGTTATTTATAGTTATATATTATTCATTGGCCGACCCCAAGTTGTTGAGATTAAAGCGAGTTAAAAGAAGATAATTAATTGATTAATTAGCTCTGTAATAATTTTAATTTTATCTCTTATGCCTTATAAAAATGACAACTTTCTTTTACAAATTGAAACTCATATTTTGAATTTAATAAAATGTTTGAAGTATTTTTAATAGTAAATGCCGTTTAAATTTTTAATATTACTTCATACAATTATGATACATATCACTTAAACATTTAAAAATTTTTTAACAGCTATAACTATTATAAAAAATTTTTTGAAGTTTAAATTCTGTATTTTTATTTAGAAACATCATTAAGAGTTTAAAAAAGAAAAAATTAAAATTTTTGAATATTTATAAGCCTTATATTTGGACACCAAATTTTCCATTTCAGACCTTCGTAGGGGGGCTAATCGCTTTACGGGTCCATTGTATTTCTAAACCAAAAAATAGGCGATATGAAATAAGTAGCGATGTGATTAAAGTCCATAGCAGATAATTAATGTACATAAAATAGTATATTTATTAACACGCAATGCACAAACGTGTATTATTTACAGGTCAATAGGTGTGCGAAAAGTTCAAGTATCAATCTACCTTGTGATCATAATAAGTATTGTAAACATAATAAAAAATATTATAGTGCTGCTAACACATTGAAAATTTTAGATACCTAAATTTATAATATTTGTGTTCAATTCAAAACTCATATTAATTATCATTTAAGATATACATTTTAAACAAATTTTTAAAAAATAGTTTAGTAAATTTTTAAATTCAATTTAAATATTATTTCTAGTGATAGAAGATGATTTTAAATAATTTAATGATAAAATGTCCATTTAAAGTAATGTATTCTATATCATTTTTAATACAATATTTTCTTACTGATCTATTAAGTTTATATTTTATGTGGTTATGTATAACCACTAAGAATAATTATAAAATCAAGCACTTTTAACGCAGCATTTATGTAATAATGGTAGTCGGCTGCATTTTTTCCATGAAATGAGTGAATTGAAGAATGATAGAAATAATTTTGTGAATCAATTGTCTATTAAATAAGTTTTTCAAATTTATTTATTTTCCAAGACCAAATTCAAGCTTTAATATGTTTTGATTTTGAATTAATTAATAAAGCTGAAAATAAATTTATATATTATTAAACATTACTATAATATAATATTGGTCTACAAGTTTACCATAGATATAAAAATAGGCTTTCTTTAAATTAATTTTATACACAATTTTTTTCAGAACCTTAAGATTTTTGTTTTTATTATTAATTTTGATTTTAAAACTATTTTTACAAAATTTTAAACTTATCTGACCTATTAAACCTATTTTTCTGGGTCTTTAATTTAGTTTTGCTATTATATATAATACAATTTTAACTTTTTATAAATTGAAATTGCAAATAAAAATTTGATTTTGATTTTTCTAAATAGGAAATTGTATGATGATTTAAATAATGACATTTTTTTATTTTATTCGGTGAGGAACTTTTATAGTTGATATTGATAGAAAACTTTTACAAAAAGTTAAAAATGTTGTTAAAATGCGAGTAATGTTACCAATCTTTGACAATTTTCATGTATAATATGACAGAATTATTTTAAAAGGTCCAAATAAAAACGTTAGAAAATTTCCTTAAAAAATCTTCAATCTAATTAAAAGATAAGTAAAATGAAAGATAAAGAACTTATTATTGTACCTAGGACTGAATAGAAAATTCATTTTGTATTTAATAATAGTTATAATTATGAATAATTAATCGTTTATCACTTACACTCTAAAATTATATAACTTTTTAAAATTTATTTTCAGAATATATTTGTCAAATATTATTGTGTGAGAAAAAATAATATAGATAAAATAAATTATATAGGATTAAAGAATACTATTTATTCTAACATACTAAATATTGTTGAGCCATCATCTACAAAAAGTAGACCAATTTTTAGAGTATTGCAAACTTTTGAAGAATGTGTTGAGACTGATCAACCTATAATGGTTAGTGAAGCTTTTCATTGCATAATATATATTTTTACAACAAGTTTTTTATTTTAGGTGCCAAATAATGAAGAACTCATTAAAATGTATAAAACTATGGTTTTATTATCCATTATGGATAAAATTCTATATGAGTCACAGAGACAAGGAAGAATATCATTTTATATGACAAATGAAGGTGAAGAAGCTTTACAAATAGGTAGTGTAGCAGGATTAAAGTCTGATGATTTAATCTATGGTCAATATCGAGAAACTGGTATAAAACTATTATCTTTAAAATAAATTTTTAGTTGTGCATGCAGTGCCAGCTTTAAGTTTTTTAGCACCCTTTGCAAGTATTTTTGGCACCTATACAAAATTTATATCCATTTTTTTTAAATTGATCAAAAAAAATTTATTCAACTATTGAAAATATTATGGAACATAACATTATTCTTGTTGGGGCACACATTCAACACACAAAGCTGCCACTGTATATATATATATATACAAATAATGTATTTGTAAATTTAGATTTTTAACAATACATACAAATATATACAGATTTATTCTTTAAACATTTATTGTATTCATTTCTAAGTTTTTATTTTTAAGCCCAAAGACGGTTTTAATTTGCATTTTTTTTTTATTGTTTAACTATCTACACTTTCTAAATTCTCAAACATAATAAAAAATAGCTGGTAAAATATAAAACACTTATTATTTCAACTAATTAATTTTTATTTTATGTGTTTCAATATGTTTATTGTACATAATGATGAATTACACTACATTATTGCCTTTGGAGCATTAAATACACTAAGTATTATCATTATTATTAGTATAATTTCTTTAATATTTTTTACTTAATCAATAAAATACTGAATTTTTTAAATCTATTCTACTTAGTTATTTAATTAATTTTATGTACTTACTAGGTGTATTATTGTATAGAGGATTTACACCTGAACAATTTATGGATCAATGTTTTGGAAATATAAATGATAAGGGTAGAGGTAGACAAATGCCAGTACATTATGGATCAAAAGATCTTAATTTTGTGACATTGTCTTCTCCTTTAGCTACCCAAATACCTCAAGGTATTTTTATTTATGTTGAAAATTTATCATTTAAAAATGATTAAATGATTTTTATAGCTGTTGGCTCAGCATATTCATTTAAAATGCTAAAAAAATTGCGATGTGCTGTTGTTTATTTTGGTGAAGGTGCAGCAAGTGAAGGTGATACTCATGCAGCGTTTAACTTTGCAGCTACTCTTGATTGTCCTATTATATTTATATGGTAATCAATCAAATTAATTGCATTAAGTTAATATTACTATAAAAATAAATATGAAATCATTTCAATTAAATTATTTTTATAATACATTTAATAGTCGCAATAATGGGTATGCAATTTCTACACCAGCTAATGAACAATATTGTGGAGATGGAATTGTAAGTCATGGATCAGGTTATGGAATTGCTACCATACGTGTTGATGGAAATGACATATTAGCAATGTATAATGCAGTAATGAAATCTCGTGAATATGTTTTGAATAATATGAAACCAATAATAATTGAAGCTATGACTTATAGGTTAAATCAAATTATAATGAATTTTTTTATATTCTTTTACAATAATTGTAATTATTAAGAAATCAGTAGGATATTTATGGAGATCTTTAGAGTTTGGATCCCTCTTTGGGTTAAATCATAGAAGCAGTGTAGAGAAAGGCTGAAAATCCCTAGATCTCAACATTCTAAAAGTTATATAGATTTCCCGATACAAAATATTTAAATACATTGTATGAAATTAAATATTTTTATATTCTAGGAGAGGTCATCACAGTACTTCAGATGATAGTACTGCTTATAGACCTAAAGAAGAAATTGAAATGTGGGCAAAAAATAATCCAATTACAAAATTTAAATTGTTTTTAAATAAAAGAAAGTTATGGAATGATCAAGATGACATACAATATGAAAATATTGTTAGAAAAGAGGTAATAACATTATTGATCAAAAACATAGAAAATAAGACTAGTTTTAGTTGTTTGAGAGGTGAGTAAGAGCTTCTTAATTATTCATACTTGTGTATAAATTCTGTACACCTCATACCAAATTATGGCAATTCAGTTTCTTCACTAAAGTATAGTTTCCATTGTTAGTATATCTAATGATATATAATGTCCTATTAAGTCACTACTAGAGTTCTATCTCTAGCTAAATTCAGTATTCCTATGAGTTTTAGGTAGGGCCAGATTAAGAACTATATGGGCCCTGAGGGGGTACATTTAAATGGGCCTCCCTATGAAAAAATAGATAATTTTTATTTAATATATATATAATGGAGAGTGCTCTGGATTATGATGTTTACCACTCTTCTTATGTACAATGTATATACTAAACTAAACACCATTGATCTTGAAGAGAGAAAAATTAGATTTTTGTTCCAAACTTTAAAAAGAAAAAACTAAAAATGAATGTTTTATTTAAAAAAAAATTATTAAACTAAATTGTTATAAAACTTTCTCTAACTAAATACTTAGATATATTTTATAAATTTAAGTTAGCAAACTCACCTTTTATATCTGTATAGTTTATAATAAAGTAACTTAATAACTACAATCAGATTATGTAATTAATGTTCTATAAAAATAATAATAAACTCCTAATAACTTTTAACTAAAAATTTTAATAATTAAACAAAAAACTAAACAATAAAATGCTTTTGGATCTTCATTTACTCTCATTTGTTATAAATCTATAGTTACTCCACAATTATCCAAAATTAATTAAATTCTTAAGTTATTTCTTCCCATTTTCATATTTAAATAAAACAAAATGAATGGCTATCATAATTCACCTAATGGATATCTTCAACCTGCATTCTACAGATTGAAAAATATTGTAATTGGTATTATTATTATTGCAAGTTGATGAACAGTGGTGGAAACTTGACTTTAAATTAAACTAGTAATATGTCTATGAATTAAATCTCACTTGTCATACAAAATTTATAACCAATAAAACACTCTTGAATATAAAATAAACCAAATCATAATACTTCTTGTAGTATTTTGTATCATATGTAAGATAAGATCTTAGAGATATTTTTTGTAGAAAAAAAAATCGAGTGGTAAATTTTGTATAAGAATATTGAGAAAAATATGGGGTGATTTATTTTGTTTTCAGTAAACTCAACTTGAAAACTCATAATTATGAATCATAAAAAAATTTAAAAGCAGTTCTTTTGGTTATGTAAATTTCTTAATCTGTAAAATTCAGGGCTTGTTTTAGGGGAAGAATGATTGTCTAAAATATCCTCTCAATTGGTAGTATCCAAATTTAATAGTTTATATTTATGTATTAAGTTTCATAAGCCTTCTTGATAATTAATATTTTTAATGAATTTTTTAACAAAAAATAATTGAAAGCTTTTGTATTATAATCTATTAAATTATTAAAAATATTGATTAACCTTTTTCTAAGAGTTTTAAATATATCCCAAGTAAAATTATTATTTTAATCGGTTTTTTATATTCATTTCTCACCTCAATAGATCTTTCTAGCTCTAGCCCTGAATACAATTACTATATTTTATTAAGAAAAGAAGCTAATCATTCAATTTTATTAAATTTATCTGTGTTATATTTATATCAGTACTTTAATATAAATGTATGAATTACACTCTAAACTAAGTTTTAATTTTTTTTATGTACAAATATCAAGTCTTATATATAATATGATAGTATATTTCTTTTATAAATCAGTACTATTTAACAAATATTCAAAAATATATATATTTTTCAGCTTTTGGAAACTTTTACAATTTCATCAAAAAAAAAGAAACCAGACTGGAGACACATGTTCTCCGACGTTTATAATAATCAACCAGTACATCTACTGTGAGTTAAAAAAAAAAAAAATGAAATAAATATATAGATTTTCTACTGATTGCAGAGAGCAAATGAAAAGTCTTGAAGAACATTTAAAAGAGAACTCTCAACATTATCCTAAAGATTTTTGAAGTGATCAAAGACTTGAAATAGAGTAGTTTTACTAAATAAGTATTTTACTAAATTAAGAGATTTTGGTGTACTTCAAGTCTTCTAGTTAGTGTTCATGTTGGTCATTGACTTCAATAGTATAGTCTTCTTGTACATTTTTATCAAAACAATAAAAAAAAAAAATTGTTGGGGAGGAAACAAAATTTGTTTTTCCTTTATTATAAAAATTATAATATAACCTATATTCTTATTTATTAGTAACAGATTATTGAAGCATGATCACTATGACATAGCAGGAGTCCAAAACCCATTCATTATACTTATAATTATTTTTATTTTTCAAAGGAAAATTTTGAAATAATTTTTTTAAGAATGTTGCCAAANTTATACTTATAATTATTTTTATTTTTCAAAGGAAAATTTTGAAATAATTTTTTTAAGAATGTTGCCAAACTAGGTTAATTTTAATGTATTATTAATGAATAACTTGAATGATTCTATTAAACAGTGGGATCTGTTATTTCAAATAAAAATGTAACAGTTAAAACTGCATAAATTAATTAAATGATTTATACCTTTAACTCTATTACATGTAATTCTTAAAACTTATCTGATTGTTACCTCATTGTTTAATGCTAAATATCAACAGTATTTAAAGAAAAATACAATTTTAAATTATTAATTTTTTAGAAATTCATCCTAATTAAAATATATTTTTCTAGTAATAAAAAAACAATAACATTTTATATTATATAAAAATTACAATATTCTTTAAATGATTTACAAAAAAGAAACTATTGTCAGCGAAAAAAGTCAACAACAATATGTTACTTTTGTGATTATAAGTTTTTTTCAATTTGTCTTGGTAACTATTATAAACATTTAAATAAATAGTCAATATTCTTTTAGGATACATAAAATATTTCCAGTGCCTATAACAAAATAAAATATACTAAATGTTCTTGTGGTAATTTTGCATATTTCTTGTTTGAAAGAAAGTTTTTCCATATTCAAATGTAGATACCATAATTGCACATGCTGGAGCTACTTTAATTATACGAGGAACAATTCCACTAAAAACTGCACGAACTCCATTGGAATGATATATATCAATTACTGTTTTAACAGTCCAATTTGGAACTTTTCCTGGAGGTTCTAAAATAATAATTGATTGTTTTAAAAATCAATTAAAAAAAATGTAAAAAGTAATAAACATTTTATAAATTTGGTGGACCAAAAGTAATGAGATTAAAGCTAGGAAAAAGAAGAAGAATAGACATTTTATAAATTATAAGTAACCTGCAATAATTTCTTTTTCCGCTAAATCAATTTGTCGTATAGTTTTTACTACATCAAATGGTGTAGTGACTGCAGCAGCAAACTAAAAAATTTTAAACGTGTACTAAATTTATCATACAAATATTTTAGTAATAATTACTGCTCCTGCTATAGATCCAGCAAAAAAATTGTACATAAATGTTGTTGGCTTTCCAGACATTAACTTAATTTTTTCATAAGTTATCCAATATAATCCTAATAAAAATAAAATTTGAAGTTTTAAAAACTAAAAAAAAAAATACACAAATTCATAAGTAAATTTAAATAATTCTTAACAATTAAAATATTTCAATTATTACTTTTACGATTAAAATTTAAATATTAATTTTACTTTTTAATTCATTATTCTGTACTTAATTGAAAAATTAAGTACAACTCAATTATTTTTATAATATTGTCCTTTATTAAAAGTTAAGTCAATAATTTATAAGATCATTGCAACAACCAATTCCAATATTTTGCAAGTCTATTTAACTATTTACATTTTTGTTAAAGTAACATTTTTTTAATTTAAAATATGGAATTTTTTTTTTTTTTGTAAACAAAAGTTAATATTGTAAATTAATTTAAATCTAATTTTTTACATCAATAATTTAAAAACTAAACATTTTCAACAAATATATTTATTTTTAGTAAAGAAAACTAAGGTGGAAACAAGGATTTATGTTATAATATCAAAAAAAAAAAAAAAAACTTAAACATGAAAGAAATTGATAATAGTTATATAATAATCTTTTACAATAAAAAAGCCAAGTACTTTTAATAATAATTACCAGAAAAAGGAACATCTCTTAATAAGGTGGATCCAAGGCCTTTCCATAAACCTTTAATTCCGTGGTAATGTAGAAGGCTTTTTAACGCTTCATGAATTTCTAAATAACTAAGTTTTTTTGATTGCATCTTTGTACGTATAAGTTCTAAAGGGCTAACTGAAGTAGCTGCTCCAAGACGAGCAGTACATCCAGATACAGCTGATATCCAGAGTAATTGATTTTCATCAATGTTTTGAGAGTAAAATGGTTTGACTACATCAAAAATGAAACATCTTATTTGCTCATATGACACAAAATAAACAATAGTAGCAGGTAACGCAAGAATTAGTGTAGGACTTAAACCACTCCATAAGGATTGAACGCCTTCGTTTCTTATTATTTGTCTAAATGCATCCTACTTAGACAATAAAGAAAAAATTATAATGTACTCTGAGCAATTCTGTTACATAAACCACTCAATTAAATGCAAAATAAAAATTATATTGGGAATATTATTTTAGCTATTTTTATTGCATACATTCATAAGTTAATTAATCAGTTTTTTTTTCAAATTTCTAATACATTAAGCATGTGAAACATTCTCTATACTACGTACAGTCATTATTTTGAAGGCTTTATAAACAATTTTTTCAATAATTACTAAAAATAATAAGATTTAAAACTATTTAGATGATGTTATGTAAGAAAATTATTCACTATACTACTGTATTACAGAAAAACATTTCTGGGTGTATAAGTTGCCTCCACCTTTATAAGGTTACACCTTTTTTTATGGCATATACAGAGTAATTCATATGAACTTAATCAAAAAATAAGAATAATATTGATATTTTTTATTTTGGTTTCTTTTAGTTTAATGTTTTTCTCAATTTATCAATTATTAAGTATTTTTATGTTCATCCCTTAAACCTTATAAGTGTATCAACATTACTTTTTAAATGGCCACATACATAATTAACTAGCTTATTTATAAGATAATAATAATTATTAAATTATTTAATTATGAAATGGACTATTCAATAACAAATTTTGGACCACTATTTCAGAAGTCAGTAACAATTTAATGTAATAAATGAAGGTGAAGAATGAGTGCTACTATTTTTGTATACATTTCCCGCTTGTTCTCTTCCTTCCACTTAGGTATAAACATGCTAATAACTTTAATAAATTGAAGTTTACAACGTATAAGGGATGAACATGAAAAATACTTTGGGACTGATAAATTAAGAAAAACATTGAATTTAAAGAAATGATTTATAATACTTTTAATTTTTGATTAATTAATATATCCATGATTAATGAATCACTCTGTATATTTAATTGATTAGAAAATTATCTTCTAAAGAAAATTACTGAGGGTCAAGTTGTGACTTTTCTTAATTTAGGTAATTGTCATCTGTTCTTCTATCGTTAAAAATAAAAATATATTATATCTTTTAAAATAATAAGTTAAAATTAGTTATATACATATATATATATATATATGTATATCATTTTCTAATAAAAAATGTTTGTTGAAAAGTACTTAAAAGACATAAATAATAGATATAAAAATACTCAATTATTATTAAATTGAGCATTACATACAACTAATAAAATCTGATTAAAAATTTCTGAAATTTAGTCTTTTAATGAGTAGTTCATGCTTAAGTGAATTGCCTTGTATATGTTATGTATAAAAGTTAAAAACAATGTATCTTACAATTGTTCCATTAAAATGACTTGGCCTATCAAACCATTGTACATTTCTGTAATAAGGACTATAACTAATATTTTTTTTTAATACATTGCAAGGACATATGTGATCCATTAACCCATTTGAATAAAAGAAACATTTTTTCTTTTCAGTAATTCTAGTTTGAGCTTGCATGCGTACTTTAATGACATCTAGTGGTGTAACTAAAAATATAATAACTGATAAATTTTTACTCATGATGTTTTATAAAAATCAAAGGAAAAAAAATGTTTTGTTATTTATATAATACTAACAAGCATGTTTAAAAGGGCAATATCAAATTAAAACAAAATAGTTTAATAGAATTAAATAAATGAGATTCCTTTGGTAAAATTATAATACCTCATTAAATTCTAATGAATAAATGTCTTTCATTAATTTTATTATTAAGCATATAAAGTTTACAATATATTCTAAGATAAAAAAACAAGGCTAAAATATGTTTCATTATACAGGTACATTCAATAGACCCATATTTTTCATAAATAAAATACAAATTGCATCTAGATTAAAAAATATATTTTGATATCTAAAATAAATGTAATATTATATTTGATGTTGGCTAATATAGATATTTATAATTAACTCTTAATTACTATTAGTTTTGTAAAAGTGCACAAGCTAAAATCATTTGGAAATATTAAAGATTTTAAACATGCGAGAACATACTTTTTATCAAAATCCTATCAAATACCTGTGTATTAAAGAGGTTTGAACAAGTCATATACAAGATGATCCTTGAATCATGAACCACTTGAATAAAATATAATAAAAAATATAAATATTTTCAAAGATTTTTTTCTTTATATTTTTTATTTATATAGACTTTTTGATTTATCTACTATTAAGTATTTTTTTTTGTTGAGACCTTATAAATTTTAACTTTTTTTTTTTTATGAAAATACATTTAACAAGCTTGTAAAATAGAAAATAATGTAATTAAGAAAATAACTGGTGGCCTATTTTTGAATTGTGCATTCGACGAACGAAGCATTCACTATGTTCGGTCTTATTAAGAATAATTGTACAAATTTCAATAAACCAATGGCATTAAAAGTTCTTTACACTTCTTTTAATCGCCTTCAACTTGAGTATGCAACAATAATTTGGGAAACTCACAATACAGGCCACCATAATCAAATTGAAAAAATTCAGAATATAATTCTTAGATTTATTTGTTTTAAATGCAATATATACAGATCCCCCCACTCTGGTTATACTAATACTTTAAATATGTTGAATTTAAGTACATAAAAAAATAGAAGAATTCAATTTTATTTTTCATTTCTTTTTAAACTTCTAAATAATAAGGTAGATGATTCTTTTTTGTTAAATAGTGTATCTTTTAAAGTTAATTGTCATAATGTAAGAAATAAAGATTTATTTTATACTCCTCACAGTTCTAATAAATTCTTATCTTGTGCACCTGTTAATATTTTATCAACTGTTGGCAATCAATTTAATTATCTAAATATTTTTAGTTAATATTAATGTTTTTTTAACTATTCTAATTATGTAGTCTTAATAAATATTTTTATTTACTTATTGTATATTATTTGGTTTTACATAGTTATTGTATATAGTCTTTAGTTTATTCTATATATTATCACATTCTGTAGTTATTTTGTGAAGTTTGGACTTATTGTCCATAAATAAATAATTTATTACTAACACATACATTTATAATTTGTTAATTTAATTAATTTGATGTTAATTTGGTTTAAGTAATTCGCCAAAATTATAAAAATAATTTAATTACACAAATTCTAAAAAAAAATGTATTACAATTGCTTACATGTAAAATTAAAAATAATTAATGTACTTTAAACAACATTTAAATTTTCGAAAATAAAGTGCTACATATATTTTATATTATAACTTTATTTATTTTTATATTATTAATTAATATAATAAATATGATGTTAATAAAAAATTATATTTTAAGTAAATATTTTTACCTAAAAGTAAGTATGAGGATCAAACCTTTCTATTGTTATAAATGACTGTCCAAATAATGAAACGTTCAACCCACCGTTTGTTATTGGAAATTTTCTAACATCCATTATGAACTAACATTTTCTATTGTTCTAAACGATCATTTATTCGATATTTTATATGTTTCAAACATGTTCATGAACAACATTAGCCATATAAACTTGTATAAAATAAAATCTGAACGTATATGTTTGATAACAGACAATTCAATAATAGACCCCTGGTCGATAACAAATTTTGGACCAGTACTTCAGAATTTATTAAAAATTTATACTAATGACTGCAGTTAAGAACTAGCTACTGCAATTTCTATCACTGGACATATTTTAGCCTTATTCCTCCTCCAATTCTGGTATAAAAATGTTAATAACTTTTGAAATATGGGTCTAAAATTTGTTAACAACCAGTCGTTTTCAATGACATAACTACTATGTAAAATTGGCTACCAAAATCAAAACAATTACATTTTTTTGTAAGCATGACTGATTATTTTGTATTAATATTTTTAACTTTAATTTTAAATCTATAATACAGATGCATTTAAAGAAAGATCAACTTTTTCTTCATCAACTAAAGTATTTCTATAATTTTTCTAAAATATCTTAGGTTTGACTAAATTGTATTCTTTATATTAAAGACAAACAAAATTTAAAATTTTCCTTATAGGTAGAATTTTGTTGAAGAAATGATAGTGCAGTAGCACTTCCAAGGGGTTTTCATAAGTGTTTTGACACATATAATAAGTCTCATAACATAATTAATTTGCTAGTTTGAGAATATCTCAATATAATATTTATTATATATATATTATAAACATTTTTATTTTTAATCTATATTTTTGAAAACAATAATTATGTTTAATGATCAAATTTACTAAAATGACTACCTCCTACAAGTTTTCCTAGAATTGTGCCTATCATAGTGAATAATTTTAAAATTATATAATATGAAAGTACAAACCAAAAATTGAAGTTATTAAAGCTCCAGTACAAGCAGCAGCCATTTGTTGTACAGGTGTTATTCTAAATTGAGGATCATCAATATTTAGATGATCGTTAGGTATACTTTTAAGATTCATCACTCTAATTTTGTATAAATATATAAATATCTACAATAAATATTAAGTAAAACAAAATAAGTTGATATGCAAAATTAATTTTTAAAATACAGATTAAATATTTAACAAAATCGACGCTGTTACACAAAGAAAAGCTATTTTGAAAGTAGAAATAATTAGAAAACTATTGAGTTAAAATAAATATTTCTTATCGAGACATAATAAAATTTGCTGAAAAAAGCTTTTATCTAACATAGATGAATATATTTGTAGTACCTCATAACAATCGTATATTGATTAAAAAACTCACGTGGTGATAACTGATAAGACGATATACTAATTAAGTATTATATTAAGGGTTGTAATTTTAATCAATCGAACATCCAGAACAGCGGTTTTTAGTAAGATTATGGAGAGAGCCATTTATAGACGTTGGTGAACCGCATTTTAGGGACGACTGGAAGTTAATTGTAGTAATTTCTAATCAAATACAAGTAGCGGTTACCGCCTTTTATTGCTTACCAACTAGACTAGAAAGCGCTACTTATTCTAAAAGTTTGTTATATTATATTCATATAACATGTTTTTTAAAAGTTACTACTCATAATTAAAGCACAACATTATAACAAAATAAAATTCGTTAAACATACATAGAACTTCAAATAGTACCTGGTAGCTAAATTGCTGGGTTATTTCAGTAGCCGTAAACAATTAATAGTCGAGTGACCCGATTATATTGGTGATTCTAAAAAGGGTATATTTGCACGACCAGCGTTCGGTTTTTTGTATTTTTGATAAAGTTTCGAGAAGTGTCCAGACAATAGTTGTATACCAAATAAAATCTTGAAAAGTTATCTATCGAGTGGTATATTTCGCAAATGGTACTCGAGTGTCCACGTAACCCGTATGAGAGAAATTTTGGGCGATATCAGCGGTCGTAAACAATAGGTATTCCTCCGACCAGCGCTCGGTTTTTTTAATTTTTTATAAAGTTACGAGACGAGTCCAGGCAATAATTATCTACCAAATAAAAATATAATTGAAGACCTATTACCGATATAGGTGTATGTTACAAAAAAAAAAATTCCACAAAAGATAAAAAAACTAAATAGTGTTTAGAAATCGGTGTAAGGATAGAACTACTTAATGTACTCCTATCAGTACTCGGTTGTTGCTGTTCGGCTTACTGTATAAAGTCAAGTCTTTTACCTTTTCACTTACCTACTTTCGTCCTTTACGTTTCAGAGTGCTTATGTCTTGCATTTCGTCTGCACCTCATACTTCGGTTACCCTTATCCTAAACTTCCACTTGACATGGTCTCCCACATCATCTACGGACAAACCAGCCGTCCTCATACCGCATTCAATAACGTTGATAAAATGGTGTTAACGAGCCATGATTATGTAAAAAAAAGATGGAAAGATTATTTTGAAAAATTATTGAATGAGAAGTATACAAGTGAAACATTAGAGAATATGTTGTGGAACGAAGGATTAGTAGATTTTGAGTGCACCAAGGTTCTGCTTTAATCCCTTACTTATTTTCTATAGTGATGGATGTAATTACTAGAGAAATACAAGGAGAGGTGCTGTGGTGCATGTTGTTCGCTGAAGATATAGTGTTAATAGGAGAAATGGGGAGGAAATTAATCAAAGGCTAGGAGTGTGGAAATCAGCTCTTGAAGTAATGGGATTAAGAATAAGTAGGAGTAAGACAGAGTATATAGAGTATGAGTTTAACTAAGGAGAACACGAGGTAGGTGAAATGAGGAGATCAGTGACAATAAGTGAGAACGTGATAGGAGAGGTGGAAAGGTTTAAGTATTTAAGATCAGTTGTGCAAAAGAGCTGTGGTTTTGACGAGGATGTAGGACACAGGATTGTGTGGGTGGAAGAAGTGTCTGGTGTATTATGCGATAAGAGAATGCCAATGAGACTGAAAGGTAAGTTTTATAAGACTGTAAGGATATCAGCTATGATGTATGGTTCAGAGTGTTGGCGGTTAATAAGTGTTAAAAAGGAATAAGTTAAAAAAATAGTATTTAACTACTGTCTAAACAAAAGTATTACAACAATTTAATTCAGTGAAAGTTTGAAAAAAAAAACAAATATAACACGGTAATCACGATGCAACGACCAAAACGACAGTCGCCACTAACCGTCGCTTGGGAAGCTATGAGAACAGTTATGGAAATTAATGTTGAAGGAAGAAGAGGTAGAAGAAGACCAAGATGTTATTGAATGCGATACGAGGACAGATGATGTGTGCGTAGATGACGTGGAGATTGTATCATGTGGAAGTTTAGGATAAGGGTGGCCGACCCTAAGTAGTTGGGATTAAAGCGAGGAAAAAGAAAAAGATTATTATAAAGGAAAAAGTAACAGGAGCAGATGTAAATTTTTTTTTATCATAAGTGGTTATAAATATAAGCTATTAAAAGGTTACATTATTTGGGCATATTATTAATTTCAAGTCCTAATTTATTAAAATAATTAATTTTTTTGATTTATTATCTGTTAATTTTGTATATAGATCTAATAAAAGATAGTCAGAAAACTTTTGTTGACTCTTGAACATTTTACAGTTTTATAAATTAATATTAGTTCAATGTAAATTATTGAAGCAATAACCTTTATTTTTCTTGAAACCTAGTTATTATAGTTATTATAGTTATTATTAACCTTTGATATGATCACATATGCCAAATCTTTGTACCGCCAAATAGACTTATAACATTGACAGTGACACACGTATTATTACAGGAAGGCAGACTGCACACATAAACACTTTTGGAATTCACTGACACCGTGCCATAATACTAATGTCTTAAACGCCAGTTGACTTTTTACCATTACTCTTGTTGCCTTACATCTTAACTTAAATTAGATACCAACGAGATAGTGTGTGCGTGTCGCCGTCAGCTCCCTGTTGGATTATTATCATGTCTAAGTGTCCAGCAGGTTGTATTGTTCATTTAATATTTCTTTACTTAATAAATATTTATATTGTTTTTAACCAAGAAAGTTATATATATATTTGTAGTGCGACCTTTAGTAGTTCCTCTAAGGGAATAAAAATTATAGTAAACCTCAGTACCTAAGTTAGATATAGCCTAGCCAGCTATTTCTCCGTTGGTTCCTTAGAATACTATTGATGGGCATTTAGGTCAATCTTAAAAATTAAATATGAACAATTTAGTTGATATACAGAAAAGCTGTTATTTATTATATTAATATAATTCATATTTATCAAAAGTATAAAATAGTGCATAAAAATTATTTGGTAAAAAATACAAATTAAGTTATACTATTTCAACTATTTTTTTAATCAATGTAAAAGAAAAATGTATTAAAACAAATTGTTTTATTTTAAATAATATAATCAATTGTCGAAAAAATTAAAAATATTTAATTGTAAATTTTATAAACAAATAGTTATATCACAATTTATAAATTTATTTAAACTTATGAGTATATTATTGCTGGAAAATATGTTTACATAAAATTTAAATCTAATAATACTTTATATCTAAAAATGGACGGAATGTTACACATACAGTACAAATTAAGTATGGTTATGATAAATAGTTGTTAATCTTAGGTACAGAATATATATTATACAGCTAAATATATTTAATATATAAATTAAGTTTTTATAAAATCAGTTATTTATATTTCTTTTTACACAACTTTGACATTTTGAATGGAAAAAAAAAAAAATTAAACATTGTGCTTCAGACAACAATTATTTACATTAACACATCCTGTAGTGCAAACTTTATTTAAGGCAGTTAGTGAGTTATACTTAAGTAAATATTGAGATTCAAATGACTTAATAAAAAGAAATTAAAGCATAATATAAAAATTAATAGTCATTTGTAATTTATAAAGTAAAATAAATAAGATATCCCACACATTTAAACTAATAGATGAAGTGTAATTAAGTAAGATCATATCGATTGTATCAAATTAAAAACAATAAAAATGTATAAACATAAAAAAATTTCATTAGTGGGATTTAATTTAAAATCATATTTCAAGCTATAAGTTAAAACAATTTAACTGATTAAAATTATTTATAAAAAATGTTTTCACTAATATTATTAAAAAATAAGTTTTATTGTATAATTAATTTTTATATTTAATGAAAAAAAAAAGTAATAATAATAAAATGGTACCAAAAATAAAAATAGCTTAAAATATTTGTCTTTGAAACAAATAATAAAACTAATACAAATGTTTATAGTAAAATATGATCAGTTTAAGATTAAACATTTGTAAATTTAAATAAATGGTATCAGATAGTCCAACAAAATTATAAAATTGTCTTACAAGTTTAAAGGTTTTAAATAAACCATTCACGTTTCTTTTGTACTTGATGTCCAGTGGTAGAATGAATTACAGCATCATCTGGATCTAATGCAATATCAGCACCTCGATCTTCTTGAGTGATATAGTCTCCTTTATGCCGTGCTACATATCGTCCAACAAGAAATGCAAGTATGAGAATTGCCAATAATATGAATGAAAATACTCCTACAATGTTTCCAAAATGTATTGTTAAATAAATAATTTACTTATATCATATTTTTAGTTACCTCCAATAAGAGCAGAATTTGTTTCATTATATGCAGCTTTAACTTTTTCTTCATCTAAAATTGGAGGTGGTCTTGTCTCTATTAATGGCTGAGGATGTGTGACGGGCTCAACACCACAAAAATCTTCTTTAATTGTTGCTAGTAAAAAATAAAAAATAAAAATTAGGTTTTTGGTTTTAATGCCCAATAACTCCTAGAAATTAAGTATTCGAAAATTTGTTTCTATTATCAATTAAAAGCATATTATATTAGCTATTATTTGATGTAGTTTTAAAAAAAGTCAGGTTTTTAGAACACAATCAAAAGTTGATAAGGAAACCATTTTAACATGATGTTTAAACTTCCCCAGTACTTTGATTAATGTATGGATTTTCAAATAAGTATGTTGTCAGCAAGATAAATTCTTAAGTATTGCCAACAAATATTTTGCCAAAAACCATTATTTTTTTAAAAACTTATCTTAATATAAAGTGGAAAAAATTAACTTGGCAGATTCAAACTAATAGCTTCCTAGCTACATATCTAAGCTAATATTTAGATAAGTATACCAACTATTAAAAAAATTAAAAATACAAAAAGTGTTTTATTTGATAGGAATACTACTTATTGCTTACTATTCATTCCACTAACGTTAGGAGGACCATCTTGTTGAAATAATAATTTGAGAGGATATATATCATCAAATTCAACACGTGATATGCAACCCACAAAACCTTCCGTCATGGATGCATTACGACCAATATACATGTATTGTATGTTGTTGAATTGAGCATCAGTAGAATCTTTAATATTGAAATGAAACTCTTTTGGGTCTGATCCATCTACCTTTAATATTAATATTAATTTTTATTTTATTAATTAATATTATACAAATTGAAAATATTAAATTTGTACTGAATTATGAAAAGATAATTGGAGAATTTTTTTAAATTTTATAAAATTTTGATTATAGCTTATTGAAAAATAGTAAGGTTCATCAACAATATCAATATTTCCAACTTTCTCAACGTCTTTTTTTTTTTTACGATATTGATTACCTATTAAAGTATAGAGATATATTGCAAAATAAAATTAATTTTACCACTTTAGGGTAATACATTATAATATAAAAATTCATTGGACGTTTGAATAATACAACAATTCATTGATTATATAACATTAATTTTATTAAAATTTGTAAATCAAATGTTATTAAGACTAATTACCTACATAAGTTATAATTTTTTTTCAGAAAACCAAGAAAATAAATATAAAATTTTATGTTCCATATTTTAAAATTATGTGCTATTTTGCTTATTTGAATACCATGATAGAGAATTTTTTTTTATAACTTAATAAAAAAAATATTGCAGGTGGGCTTTTATTGGCTTGCAACACTTTGAGATTTGACGTTTGCATAACGACTAGCTATGGTAGCAAGAGTCGCCACCAATTAGGAGAGATGTTACATCTATCAGATATCATTATCGGATTATAGGTGGAATTTAATTTTAAGTTATTAAGAATTTAATTTAAGTTAATATGTTGTTAAATACAGATGATTATAACACTACGTGGTTTATTAACCACAACTATGATAAGTGAAGTTGTAAGTGATTGATATGTAAAACATATCATAGCACATGTCTAGATTAAGGAACAGGAATAAAGTTACTTAAGTTACTCTCGCAATAAAAATAAATATTACGGTTAAAATTAATATGGAAATTTAATCTAATTGCTAAAAAAGAAAATTTAGTTGAACATTGACAAAAATACGAATGTATAAAAACCAAGAGTATTATCAGAATTTAATAAAAAACACTAGAAGCAGTTTGGACGCTCGCTCCAAAGTGTTGACTAGAAGAAAGAGGAAACACGTGTTCTACATATATGAATATAATAAGATAATTAATAAAACACAACTCATTACATAAATGTAATTATAAAAAACAAACCCAGCACAAACTTACAAGTTTGAAATTGACATTATAAATAGAAAAAATAATGAAATTTTGATAGATTTTAATTTTTAACAAAACAAATTAATTTTTGGTCAATAATTCAAAATTGATGCAAATTGACGCTTTGATGCAAATCTTTAGATAGTGTTTAATTTTAAAAAATTGGTGGGTTATTCCAAAAGCTACATGATCTGCTATTTCCTTATTAATACCCTGATTAAGATAAAGTATGTCGAATGAAAATTGTGTTATAAAGTTATAGCATTATAAAGTTAAAAATGTAAAAAATAATATAGAGAATTTTCACATAAAAATAACATTTGGTAGCTATTTTCACCGTGAAGACAAAATAAAGTCCGAAATTTCTTTTTCCTTAATAAAGTACATTACATTACCTTTAATTTAAGATATATATAAAAGTGTCAGACTTTCTGGAACACATTTAAAAGTTAAGTTGAAAAGTTGTCATTTTAAATCCCCCCTCTGTGGGCAGGTAAAGGGTCAGAGATTTATAAAAAAAATATACCATATGATAGGTAAAAACATTAAGCATCTATAATAAAAAAATTATATTGATTTGTTCATTTTTGAAAAAGTTATGGCAGTTTTAAGTAAAAAAATTGAAAAAATTAGCGATTTTTAATTTTGTAATTTTTTTGTAGATTTCCCCCATTTATGGGGAACGAAGGAAATTTTTTCAATTTTTAAGGGTAATGTCTTCGACTAGATACGATTTGTGATCTTTTGACGTATCGTTGAAAGAAATCCGTTCGGTGAGAGCTGAGAAAAAGTGGTAACAGACACAAAAAAAAAAAACACATCATAGTAAAACCAATACCTTCTCAGCTTCGCATTGAAGCTAACAAGGAAATGATGCCCAGTATTCAAAGAGACTCATTTCATTGCATTATTCACACATTTTTGATTGTACAATAAAAAAAAATATGTAGACATATCAAAAATTATAAACAGTTCATCTTTGAATTTATTACGGTTACAATATTTTGACTAAATTATGTATAATTTTTAATTAAATAATTAATATATATATGATTATGTATACTTCTAGCTTATATTCAAAAACTTCATTCACTCTAAAAACTCTGAATTTCGCCATCAACTAAAAAGGTTTTAATATGAATTTTTAATTTTTCTGAAGAATTTCTGTCATTTTAAAGAGATTTTTTATGATCTGTCATTAAAAATATATAATATTTTGATTGTACTTGGAAACTTAAGAAGCCATAAAAATATACAAAATTTAAATATTATAGAAATGTATACTTTTAAAGAAGCCATAAAATAACAGATTTAACTTGATAAATAACAGTTAACTTGATAACAATGTAAATTAATTACTATTTAATTTATTAATTGTACAATATTCTTCATATAAATGATGCTTACCTCCATCACTAAAGTAGAGCCTGAGTTTTTTCTTTTAATTCTTAGGTCATGATACTGACCAAGCCCAAAATGTTGTTCAGGAAAAATAAGTTCTTGTCGCTCAAACCCAAAGTCAAAAACCACTCTTAAATGACCTTAAAATAAAAATATCAAATATTATTACATATATTAATAAGAAAAATTAAGCAATATTTTTTTAATAATTAACCCTAGTTTCTTAATTATTTAATATCAGATTAAGTTCAATTATTTTACATAAGGTACATGTAAATATATAATTAAATAACAGATACATACCACTGTTTGATACCATAATGGTCATATATTCTCCAGAAATATTTGAAAACAATCCAAGTAAAAAGCCTTTTGGATTTGTAGTAGTGAAACCAACTCTAATATTTTCTGATATAGTTGATCTCCAAATTCCTTCAAAATCATATCTAATCATTGAACTTGCTTTTAGGGTTACACCAATTTCTAAATAAAATATAAAATGCAATATAATTAATTTCATTATAAATAAATAGTTTTCAATAGGAACCTATCAAAATAGTATAACAATAATACATTCCTGTATGAATAAATTATAAGAAAATTACTTAAAATAAATTTGTCAAAAAAAAATTAAATTTTATAAATTGTACAGAGATTTATATACAAGGTATTTTTTTTACTCTTTCAATTCGGATTTGGTCACTAACTAAGTATGGATGCCACACAACCACATTGTATTCTAAAATGGGGCGAACGAGGGAAAAGTAGAAGGATCTTAAACATTGTGGGAAAGCTAGTATGACGCTTTATAAATCTTAAAATTTTTAAGGCTTTGCCAACTATTATGTTGATATGAACGTCGAATGATAGTGAGGGAGTCAAATGAAATCCTAAGTCAGTAACTCAAAATACACACTCTAACACGGTACTATTTAAAGATAAGAGTGAAGAAGTAGAACACGCTTCTTGTTAAATGCCATAATGTGACATTTACTTAGATTAAGTGAGAGGCCAACCTGATTAAGCCAGCAAACAAAAGAATCAAGACCTGCCTGCAGTAGTAAACAATCAGAGAGAGAAGCTAATTTCATGAAAATTTTGATGTCATCTGCGAATAAGAGGACTCGAGAATTAATTATTAATAGAGTTGACATAGGAATAAACAGCCCTCTGCCCAGCAGAGGAGGTGCCCACCTTAGGGGACGACCGAAGGAACTTTAGTAACATTAGCACCATTGACAGAAACAATTGTTTTCTTGACGTAAGGTAGGACTATAGCCAATAAAATAAATGATCACCTATACCAAGAGATTTAAACTCAGATACAAGCAGACAATAGTCAATTGTATAGAAGGCTTTTTTATAGTCAGTGAAGACAGTGTTAACTTGAAAACCATTTTCGAAGCTGTCTAAAATAAAGATTGTGAAGGACAAATTACAAGATACGGTAGATTTACCTGGGCGGAAGCCATGTTGTTTATCAATGATGATGTGGAACTTTGTTTAATATTAGAATAGATAAGGGATTCAAATAGTTTAGTAATATGAGGAAGGATGGAGATAGGTCTATAATTGGAGACAAGAGACAGGTCACCAGTTTTCAGTATAGGTGTGATGGAACTAATTTTCCATGCCTCAGGAAAAAATTTTTTTTATGTAGTGAACGCCTAAAAAGCAAAAAGATAGGATATACTAAAGAAAGACAACAATTATATAATAATTGTGCTGAGATTCCATCATGATAATTCGAAAAATTATTTTTTAGAGAACTTAATACGGTTTGGATATTATCAAGGAAAAAAGAACAATTTGAGGGCAGATTATAAGGATAGGTGGTACAAATAATTAAATCAGAGTGACAAGAAAAAGGAGTATTGTAAACAGAAGAAAAGTGGTACAAAAACAGATTAGCGGATTCAGTAGGTGAACAGGAGGTTACATTATTGTGACACACAGATGAAGGAATGGAAGAGCTTTTATTCAGATCTTTGGTATATTTCCAAAAGGTAGAAGGATTAAGAGTAAGCATTTTTTAGGTGTCATTAATATAGGACTAGTAATTTAGTTTAGAGATATGCTCACATTTAGCTCTTAGCTCTGAAAAAATTAAATAATTAAATAATAAAAAATAACGTTTTGATTGTTTAAAATTAGCATTAGCTTGTTTTTTTTTGAAAAATAAGATTTTTAAGAGTGGGTGTTGCCCAACAAGGAACCTTAAGAGTTTTAAAATTTTTATCAGGAACAAAGAGATTAATAGACTGTAGGATCGCATCATTAAAAACAGAAGCGGCATGATTGATAGAGTAAAAAGAGAAGGTATCCTCCCAGTTAAAGGAATTAAAGAATTGAGATATAGAATTATAGTCGGCACATTTAAAATCTTTGTAAGTGTGTGTATCATCAGTGTAGGGAGTTGTTGGAAAAGGGAACTTAATATGCAAAGGAGGGTGGTAAGGATCTGGAATTACAGTGGGTCTAAAGATAAATTTACTGATACATTATTGGAATTAGAAAGTATAAGATCGAGAATGCTACCATGTTTATTAGGATGGGAGTTAAGCTGAAAAAAGTTGAAATAAGAGAAAGGATCTCTTAAAGAGGCAGAAATTTTACTATAACTACCAGAGACAGAAAATCCTAAACTGTCGCAAGACCAAGTAACAATAAGTATTTTATAGTCACCACACAACAGAACAAACTATGGCTTGTAGTTTAAGAAAATTTGTTCTATGGAAACAATATGAGCATCAACAACTGAAGAGGGAGAATGAGGAGGTAAATACACAGCATCAATTAATAAGGAAGAAGAATTAATAGACAATAGAACAAATGATTGCTCAACATTGATGACATATAAGGATACAGGAAATGATTTGATTGACGACCACCATCATGAGAGTGAGAACTATTGTTGGGATTACGATCAAGCCTCATTATATAGTAACCTCTTAGGCCAAGTTTGCTATAAGAGAAATAGGAAGTTTCTGTTAGGAAACTTAAATATCATATATGTGGAAAAAAGGAATGGAGGTTCTAAGATTTACAAGTTTAGTTATTAGTCCACGTACATTTTGATAAAAAATATTTAAATTAACATCATGTGATTTAAAGATTTTTTAATTTTATTTATAAAATTAGTGAATTCTAAAAAAAATATGTCAAAAATTGATGTTGGGTTTGGTTGGGTTGGGTTTGGTTGACAACTGAAACAACATAAGGCCGATAATTTATTAGGCGATAACTGGTTCTCACAGCATTTAGGTAAATAAGGTAGAGTAGAAGCGTCATCGGTAGATGAGTGAATATTTAACAAGGAGAGAGTACAGTTATAATAAAGCTGATTAAGATGATTTAGTTTTTTGACTATGTTAATGATGTATTACCCAGGTAAGCTGACCTAGAAGCTAGTACAATAGAAGGAAAGATATCTCAATACTTTATCATGATGTTAGTCTCACTATTCTTTTTACGATTTTCAAATTATGTGTAAAACCGGGGAATAGATTCACATTCTCTAAATGATCAATTATAAGTAACGGATATTGTATTCATTGAACTACTTGTAGGATACGTTTAATTGCGCTGAAGTCAGATATCAGTTTAATTACTATCTCTTTAAATGGAAAAAATATTTTAAGTGGACTTTTTTTAATTTCCTCGAATTTTAGATTCGAGGAGCTGGCAGGAAGAAAAAACTGAAGAGTTTCAGAAAGCCACATTGACTCAAAATGGTTTTAGGTGAATTAGAATTCATCTTGAATGGAAATATTTACTTCAGCAAAAAACTCTTAGTGATACTGAAACGCAGCCAAAACAGCAATGTATATTGAAGAAAAGAGCTTGAGTGTGTTAGTTAGTGGACTACTGTTTAAGTCACCGAGCTAAACAGCTGGTGGGAAATGTGGAATAGTAGATTGATAACCACGAGAAAATTCTTGATAACAACAATAAGTACTTATGATTTAAGTAATAGAAATCTTTGTACTATAAATTGTTATGTAAAAAATTAACACTAAAATGACTCACAATGTAAGAGCAAAAGATTCTAAACACAGCTATGAGTTAAAAATAGAGAAGCAAATGTAATTATTTTATTTTATTTAAAAAAAAAAGTAGATAGATTTATCACTTTGTTATCAGTGTATGTACAATATAATTTTTATTAATCAGTTATTATGCATTCCTTTTTATTCAAACACTATAAAATACTTATTCATTCATTTAAATATTAAATTAGATTATAATTTAGAAATTAATCTATTTATAAAAATAACTAGTGGATATGAAATATTTCTGTATTTAGATGAGAAGAGAAATGTTGATGTGAATTGTCTAATAATAAAAATATTCATTACATGTGCCCCATAAACAGTATATATTTAAAAGTATTAATTACTTTCAAAATACTAGTTCAAAGTTAAATAAAAAATAATTTTCAGTTTTTATACAATAATGTTCCAGTTATTATATATTATTGCTTATCATACCATCGGCACATATAGGGCCCTTAAATGCAGTCCATCGACAATCACATGAGTACCCATCATACTTTTCAAAACAAGTTCCATTATTTAAACAAGGGCTACTATCACATTTTCCAATACAACCTGGTGATATACCATAAAGTCCTTCTTCTGCATACTTCCTTAAATCAATTAATTGGCCGTTTAACATGAATGCCCTCATACAACCAATAAAGCCATTTTGTTCATCAGATGATGCACCTATTACAAATAGATTGTATTACAACATTAATAAAAGTTATATTTTTTGGTTTAACCCTTGGCTTATGAGGAATAAGTGTTTAATCTGGTAACCTTCTTTTGGTGAAATTAAAATAAAATTTATACCTATTATAAAAGGTGATGTTAAATGAATTGCACGGACAGGTCCAGGAGGTTCTTTAACAGATTGTCTTAAGGCACCATTGACTATAATACGACTTTCTTTTCTAAAAAAAATAAAAATAATAATAAACAAACCAATAATTAAATAATTTATACAAGAGCTATTCACATAATTTTAAACGAACCTATTTCTTTCTACTAAAACTGAATGCCATCGATCATCATTTAGTGTGTCAGATGTTTCTACACGTACACTTAAAGGACCACTGCCAGCTTGATAAGTGAATTGTAATGAATGACCACCTAAATAAAATATGATATAAATTGAAACTTAATTATAACAAATTTCTTGAAAAATTAATTCAAAACTTCAAATAATTTTTATTTCCTTTAAAAAATATTTAATTAATAATAACTTTATATATTTTTTATTTTTGGGCTATAACAAAAGTTGTAGGGTGTAATAATATGCATCATTTGAATAAGTCAAAATATTTTTAAATATTTAAACACATATCTTACTAATAAGTGAAAATTTGATAAAATCTTTAGGACCATGACTTTCAAAAATAACAGCATTTTCAATAGTTGTTTTAAATTCAAAATAAATATCTGAATTCTGTCCAAAATCAAAAGTTGGTAAACGTATTTGTGAATCCAATTTTCTGAATGTTATAACATTATTAAATAAATCTGTTAACAAACATTAATAGTGTATATTACTTAATTTTTTTTAGCAAATGATCAAGATAATTTTAAAATAAAAGACATTGCTATTTATCAAAACAATAGAATAATAATGAAAAAAATATAAATACTCACCATCACCTTCACACATTAATGGTCCTACTTTGTAACGACCTTCTTTTTCATCTAAAGGAGTTCCTGTATCTCCAAATTGTACTTTTTTTATGGGTAAATGCTCTTTTTCTCTAATATCACCAGAGTCTGATAACCAACTGTCAAATCCTAGGATAAGAAAAATAGTTAAAATTACAGTATATTACAGAATAAATAACTCATATATTTATATAATATGATTATAGTATTAAAAAAATTATATTTGTTTTATTACATAGAAAAAATAATAGTTCATAAATAATTTATACAAATATAAATATATATATATACATAAAAATTAATAAATTTTTTTATTATTTCACTGTATTATCCCTAAAATTAAAAATTAGATTAAAAAATATTTACCAGAATCACAATTGCACCATTTTGTTTGATCTTTGCAATCACCAATAACACCACACTGACATTTGTAAGATCCAGGAATAGAGCCACCCCAATAATCCATTTTTTGATTATGTCTAGATACCCACCATCCAAAAGGTCTAAAATCTATTCCATTTGCTATATAATTAAAATTACAAATATTAAAATACATTAAATAATATTAAAATATAACCAATCATCAGAGAGTAATAATTTTTAATACCAGGAGAATTAAACAGTCGAGATTGTTTACAAGAGTAACTTAATGATTGCCAACATGAATGAGATCTGTTAACAAGTGCTTCAATTTGAAAGATGTCAGCTTCATACATAAAATCTTGGCTAAAACCGCCAGGTTCTTGATAACCATCTACAGGTGATTCACCTTCATTTTGGTGTCTAACCAAAGTGACAACTCTTCCATCAGCTAACAACAATCGTTTTTTTTAATAATTCAAAATAAACAATGATAGTAAATTATAATTCATTTTTTTGTGTTACTAAAGAATGAAACAAATAAAATCAAAATATGATTAATTAAGTGAAGAAAATTTTTAAGATCACTAATTATACTGTATATTATTAAAGTGTCGAGTTAAAAAAAATATATTAGTCAACAACCATAAATGGACATAAAATTGTTTTATTTTTATCATTCAGTGATAATAATTATTTATCCTAATTGAATCAATTAAATAATTTACCATAATATTGACATGTAACTGGAAATGGTTTCAATGGACCACTACCATCAACATCTACAGTAATGTCAGCACTTTGACCTACTGGATTTACGTTCATATGGGCTCGACATGATAAAGGATGTAAAGCTAAAATTAAATAAATTTAAAAATATCTTATAGCTATATGCATATTTTAGTGGCCTTACGAGTTTGACATACAGCTCCACCATAACCAGTATTAGAACAAATGCAAAAAAATTCATTAGAATTCTGTTTGCAAGTTCCACCATGTCTACATGGATTTGGATTACATCTATCAATCATTTGACATGCATCAAATAAAATTTCTTTTTCACAACAGTACCCTTCCTGAAATTTTTTTTTGTATATTACGATAGTATAACTAATTTAAATTGTTTACTCTTAAAATGATTAAAGACTTACTCCAAGTTTCCAGTCAGTTGGTAGCATATAATTTCCATCAACTGTTATCAGACGCATACAACCAATAAAACCAATTGAACCATGAACACCGCCTATGGAAAAAACAAAGAAACAACCACTACAATTCTTGTTCAATTTAAGATTTTTATTATTAAGAATACAATATCGAGATTTGAAAATTCATAGAATAGGTTTTATAATAAACTTTGTAAAAATTCTAACTTCTCATTTATTCATTTGATTAAAAATAAAAATTTGCATACAAATTTAAAGTTTTATTTTTGTCATTTTTTAAAAATGTCATTTAATATTTAATCATATAACTTATTTTTATAAAAATATTCTTGAAGTTAAAATTATGCCAATGATGTTAAATATAAAAAAAGTGTAATCAAAAGATTGTAATTAAATATTGGTAATAAAAAATTACAAGAATAACCAACTTTAATTTTCATACTAAATTTGATGTATATATAATAATTGTCATACAATAATTAATTTAATTTAATAATAACTCAGCTATTTAAAATTTACTAACCAGCAATGAGATAATTAGTACCAGTCATAAAATCTAACTTTCGTATTGTTTGCATAGGTCTATTATCAACATTCAACTCCAGAAAATTATTTCTCAAAACTAAAATAACACTATGCCATCTTCCATCATTAAAATTTTCTTCGTAGTTATTCAAAACCACTCGAGTATCATCTTTTGTTACTAATTCTACCATAATACTTCCATTTTCCAAAAAGAGCTATTTTATAATGCAAAATTTGAAATAATAAATAAAATATACCAATTTAAATGTATTCACAGGTGATACTTAAAAAAAATTACTTTTACGTGTCCATTTGTCAAAAATTTATGATGTGCCAGCATTCCTTTTTCTTCGTAGGTCCGGAATGATAATGAAATATTAATTTTTTTCATTCCTTCATAACTTTTAATAAGAGCATGTGATGATTGAGTAAGAAATGTGACAGGAATTATTGGAGAATCCTTTAAACAATATTAACAATGATTAATGTAAACTATACAACTATTTAAAATAGTTTTCTTTTGCTATATTTAAAATAGTAACTTGTTAAATAATAAATATATTCTAGTACTTACTAAGCAGGTGTATAATGTGTTTACTTTTTGATATTTCTGCATCAACCAAGAATCTCCAGAGTTATATGCTTCTTTAACTAAATAAATCATATTTGTTGAATTCATATGAAGATTTTCAATACATCCAGTAAAATTTTTATTGATAACTAAACCATTATTCAAATGGGGCACACCTCCGATAAATATCTAAAATAGTAAAAATAAAATTTAACACTTTTGATTGTATTTCTTGAAATTATTATTTAATTAATTTAAAAATCTTACTTCATGATTGAGATCTAATCTTTCAAATTCTCCTTTTATGCGCCCTTCAATGGTAACACGATCAACAGAAAACTCAACATCAAGTTTATTTCGCATTATAATAACTTCGTGCCAAATATTATCATCCAATAAACTTCCAATTGATAAACTTGTCATAATTTGGGAACCTTACAAAAAAAAAATCAATATAAGTTTATATGAGTGATAGTTAAAATAAATTAAAATATTTCTTATATTATAATTCTCTTAGATAGTTATCCAAATAAAATATTTGCGGACACAGAAGAATTTTTTTTTGGAAGGGAACAGGGAATTACACTATTTTTGTTAAAATAAAATTTTTTTTTCTAAAACAGAACCTTTTTTTTTTAAATATAATTTTAATTTTTGGGGGTGGTACCATCATTTCCACGGTTCTATCTATAACTGCAATAAAATGTAACTATCTAAATTTTTACTACTAAAATTCATTCATGAATAAATTTACCTAAATTTATATTTAATAGTAATCTGTTATCTCTAAGCTGCAATGCTAGATAATCGCCTTGAGATCCAATACCATACAATAATACTCCATCAGCTACATTAGTTTTAAATCGAAATCTTATTGTTTCTCTATGAGCAGAAACTGGAGAATCTCTTAAATTCCATCGAACCAATGAACTTCCATTAAAGTAAAGATTATCAGAAGCTAAAATAATAAATTTAAATAATTAAGAGTTCCACTAGAATTACACTTTTACGTACACAAAGATTAGTATATTTGTTTTATTTTGTGAACATTTTTTTCTCATTTGATTATTAATATTTTGAAGATCATAATGATTATCATAGAATAAATATAGGAACATTTTATTTGAAATCTCCAAAGATTTAAATTATTTTTTTAACTTTTGAATTACAGTAACATAAGTATAATTTAAACTATAAAAAGAGGATAAAACAAATTTCTTTTTAATTTAAATTTTGGTGCTTCAAATTTTCTCAGAGGTAAAAATTTTATATTCATTTATACTCAAAATAACAAAATCTTTGAAAATAATTTTTTTTTAGAATACTTAAGACCTAACATAATAAAAATAAAAATGTTTAATTAGGAACCAATATTCCTTTAATGTTTTATCTATAAATTAATCAAATTTAAAAAAATTGACTAGAGTGTCCTTAGTAGGACATTCTATAAAGTCTTACGTATTCAACAATGGTAAGAATACTTCGGTGAGAACACTTAAGTGAAGAAACCAAATTAATATAATTCGGTTGAAGGTACGCACTATGGACACATAGGTCTAAGTGCATGGGTAGTTCTTGTCCACCTCTATAACAACTAGAACTATAATAATGTTATTTGGTTTTTAATCAAAACACTTCGAAATCCAAAATTTTTACAGAAAATTATATGATTTATGACTTTAATGCCCAATAACTCCTAGAAATTAAGAATTCGTAAATTTGTTTCTTTTATCATTTAAAAGTATATTCTATTAAATATTTTTTGATGTAAGTTTAAAAAAGTCAGGTTTGTTAGAACATAATCAAAAGTTGATAAGAAAACCATTTTAACATGATTTTTAAACATCCCCAGTACTTAGATTAATGTTTGGATTTTAAAATAAGTATGTTGTCAGTAAGATAAATTCTTAAGTATTACCAACAAATATTTAGCCAAAAACCATTAATTTTTCAAAAACTTATCTTAATATAAATAAAAAAATTAAAAATATCAAAATTCTCTGTTTAATGACAATTTAATTTCCCATTATAGGAATTGAGGGAAATCTTTCAAAATGATGCCTCTAGAAAGCTTCAATTATATATGTTTATGATCTTTTGATGCATGTTGAGCAAAATGAGTCCTGCAGAAGTGAAATAATAGTGTATAGCAATAAAAAAAAAAAAAAAAAAAAGCTAGAGTAAAACCAATAACTTCTCAGATATGCATCAAAGTTAATATAAATTAACTACATCAAATGTGTTCATAACTAAAAAATTAATAAAGTAACTTACCATAAGGACAACCATAAAGTTCTAATCTCAAAGATATTCTATCTCTCCATCTAGTTGGATTAATTCTAATCCATTGAGCTATAATAGGAACACTAAAAGTATTTCTGACAGCATCATCACCATTTGCATTGCCTTTAAAAAGCTAAAAAAAAAAATGTATAAAAACTACAAATATAATTAGAAAAATAATTAATAAAAGGATATTGAAAAATATAAATCGTGTTATTGAATTATATTATTTCATAATAAATTATTTAAATGTCAATATAAAACTAGTATAAACTGACAAAACTTTAATTAATGTGAAAATATTGTGAGAAAAATAAATACTATATTACTAATGAAACAAGAAATTATTTATGAAGGTGAATATTTCATACTAATTTCATTTAACTAAGTCATTTATTTCCAATGCTAATCTCAATCTAGTTCTGGCTTATAATATTATATAATAATTGTGTCATTTAAGTAAAATGTTGTACTTTGATAATACAAAAAAAATCGACGGCCATTTAACTAACTAGAAATTAGAAGTAAAATTTAAATTAAACATCCGACTTTACTACATGCAATAGTTACAGTAGGTCAATTTAGAAAAAGGACTATGGTTGTAGTGTAGTTTAATGTTTAGTTTATTTGCTAGGTAAGCATTTGACAGTGTTTTGACAAAATAGATATAGTAGACTCCAGTATAGATTAAAATTTGACAGGGATGAATATCGCTAGTATAAAAAGCTTTGCTGCAATTATTTGTAGAAAAAGACTTGAAAAAAAAACTTGTTAATAAATTTTGATTTAGCTGCTTATTACTCAGATAAAAACAGTTATTAGGTCATTACTCTTTTTAACAAAAATGTATTTTAAAAGCTTTAATTTTGTTTAATTTTAAAGAATGCAGATCTTCCACATTAGTAAAATTTGAACAAAAATAAAATTTGTGTAGATTTATTTCGGTTTTCAAACAATTTTTGTACTTATTGTTTTAATTAAATTTGTTTAAAATGGATATTGAAAAAAGTAATTGTCTTTTGTATTACTGATAAAAATTTCATTGAAATTTGTGAATTTTTAAAAAGTATTATAGCAAAATGAAACAAATTGTAAGAAATTTTTCTTCTTTTAATTTAATAGTAAATAAAAAAATATTTCATTTTATATACTTTTAAATATTGTAGATGTTTTTATGCTATGCAAAGCACTTCAAAATCAACTAGTTTTACAAAAAATTAAAAAATTTAGTTTTTATATTTTTTATCATTGAGGAGTACATTGTATAGTGATAATTGATATAAGTTAAAAGTATGCTCATTTTTTGGAACAATTATAATTAAAGAAAAAAAAATATCTAAAAATTATATTTAAAACCCCATAGTTTTTGGTTAATGTTAGGATTTTCTAAAAAAGTATATAATTAGTCAATGTTTAAAAAATTGTCAATAAAATTTTTGTTTTGACTCCTTTAGTTTTCAAAATATTATCTCAAAATAAAGCTAAATATAAGTGGTTAAAAAACATTTTTATTAAAAAAAGTAACTACATTGTGCAAAAATTAGTTTCAATCATATAAAGCAAGGCTAATCAAGTTAAAACATGTTTTAACTTGCTAAATTTATATCGAAAAACTTTAATTATTTTAAAAGTTCATTCCTTTATTTTACTCCATTAAATTAAAAGTAACTAAATAAAAAAACTAACTTAATTTAAACAAACTTTGTCAAATTTTTTTCTTACTATTATTAATGAGTAAAGGTATTTTTAAATAACATCAATTTGGATATTTCTCAGAGAGTTTTCTTCAATTATCAGAATAATAATTATGAATAATGTTATGTGAAGTCTGTACATAAATGTCCCCATAAGCAAGTGGTGTATTTAGAATTATCATTAAGAGGAGTTCCTCAATTTTTTTATTCTACGGAAACCTTTCTAGAGAGATTCTTTAAAAAAAAAATATTGATAGACTGCGATTTTGAGGATAGTATTGGTGCAGGACGATCGCTATTTAAAGAGCCATAAGGGTTACTCAGAGTGCTTATTATCTTTTGTAAAATTTAATTTTGAAATTTGTTTTCTGATCAGCATTTTTTTTGGAGCGAGAAAAGCAGCTATAATTTTTGCGTTTCCCTTGGTCATTAATATTGCAGTTTTCATATAATTATAATGATATTTAGGATATTAGAAAATAAAATTATGCATAAAAAAATACCAATTTAACTTAATTTTAATATTAATTTATAAAACTAACTTGCAGTTAACATGATATTAAATAGTAACAAATTGAAATAAAAGTTAAATTCCTTAAAAAAATTGAACATATTTATATTAGGCTAGGTGACCTAACCTAGTTCAGTAGTTGGTGTTGAGCTAAATAAATTTTTTGTCATCACTGGCATATTCAATAACTGTTAGAGAGTAAATTAAACATGATTAAAGAGATTAATTAATTTTAACTTAATTTTTTTTAAATTTAGGGCTGAGCCTTGCTTAAGTAATTTAGTATCAGTCATTTAAAAATAATTTCAGCAAGTTTTAAGTGTTCTGTGCTTTCATATATGTTATAAAATACTGTTGTTATGTCCAATAAAATAAAATTACCAATTAAAGAACAAACCACACCTTTAATTCAATGTCTCTTATTAAAAACCCTAGAAAACTTTAAATCCCAATTACTATAATTATTTGTGAGAATTAAACTTAATTGGACATAATTGTATTTTCAATTATTAAATAAAACACATTAAAAATAAGTGATCTATAATTTAACTTTGTGAACTAAATGAAAAAAAAAATTGAAACAAACATAACTACACAACTTGTTTAAAAATATTTATTGATGGAAAATAAAATATTCTATTTGTATAAATTTATTTTGACTGAAAACCAAACAGAAAGGAAATGTTCAAACCTCAATATCGCCACGTATATCTTGTAAATTTTTCCACCCCTGGCCATTATCTGAGAATTGTATAAAATATTCAGTAACAAATTCTAATGTAAAAGATCGACCTTGAACTTCAATAGAACACACTTTCATTTTATCCGAAAATTCAATAATCAATGAGTGATAGAGAGAATCATAAGAAGGAGACCATGCCGAGTGACCTAATTAATTTCTCAAGTAATTTAATTTAATCTTCTTAATACTTAATTTAATAGTTTTAACTTTAATTAGTAATAACATCTCTAGTATCTAATTTAAATACCTTTGTATTTCCAGATGATTCTTTGTATTCTGCATAGTCAAGACCATTTGATCCATAACTAATACCAAAAGTTTCAACATACTCTGAAGATTCAGCCCTACCTTGAGTCATTACTGAAGTTACGGTCATAGTTTGACCTAAGTCAATGACTAGGTATTGAGCAAAATCTGAACTATATGCAGTCCATGCATTGCGGCCTATATTACAAAAGCAAAAAACACAAATGCCAAATTCTAAATTATTAAAATAATAAAACAAATAAAGCATAAATAACATATTTCATGCAGAAAATAAATAAAACTCTGAAGCATATTTAGGTAGTTTTCAGGTTTAAAACATGAAAAATATGATTTTGATCAAATTTGGAGGATCAAGAAAATGTTCATAATTAAATCTTAAATATACTACAGATAAAAAACAAGTAAAATTAGTTTTATTTAATATACTAAGGTCTTAATAAACATACAGGAGTCCCACCAAGTTTTAATAACTTATGATCCAATGAATATTTTTCCTTATTTTTTTTATTTTAATAATTTTTAAGATTGGGACTATGCTAGCGAGGGTACAGCAGCGCTTTAAGCTCTAATTTAGCATCCCAATCAAATTATGAAAAAATAAATTTTTGTTATTTCATGAATAACTTTTATTATCAGTAACCGACAGTAAATATATAAAATAAAAAACCCCGCACAGTGTGGTCGCTGCACAGTGGGAACATGGCATAGTTGGGTCCAGTATAGATTTAATCTGACAGTGATTTTAATCACTATCATTAGAAACGCTTCGATGCAAATCTGTTCTTTTTGAAATTGGTGGATAACTACAAAAGCAAAATATTTTAAATTATATATTATATCATTTTTATAATTAATTCTTTTCAAATTATTATTGATTTTTATTTTTAATATGTTATAAGTAATAATTTCTAACCTACTTTTTTTCGTCCTTTAAACTGAAAGTTTATAATAAAAAAAAAATTGAATTTATTACCATAACTTTTAGCTCAACTTACAAGTTTGAAATTGACATTATAAATAGAAAAAATAATGAAATTTTGATAGATTTTAATTTTTAACAAAACAAATTAATTTTTGGTCAATTATTTCAATAGTTATTTTATTTAATACTAGAACATTTATAAAAAAACCCAGCACAGGAGGGTCGTAGCACAGTGGTAACGTGGCATAGTTGGATCAAGTATAATGATATCTGACAATGATTAAAATCACTATAAAAAAAAAACGCTTCGATGCAAATCTTTAGATAGTGTTTAATTTTAAAAAATTGGTGGATTATTCCAAAAGCTACATGATCTGCTATTTCCTTATTAATATCCTGATTAAGATAAAATATGTCGAATGAAAATTGTGTTATAAAGTTATAGCATTATAAAGTTAAAAATGTAAAAAATAATATAGAGAATTTTCACATAAAAATAACATTTGGTAGCCATTTTCACCGTGAAGACAAAATAAAGTCCGAAATTTTTTTTTTCCTTAATAAAGTACATTACATTACCTTTAATTTAAGATATATATAAAAGTGTCAGACTTTCTGGAACACATTTAAAAGTTAAGTTGAAAAAGTTCATTTTAAATCCCCCCCCTGTGGGCAGGTAAAGGGTCAGAGATTTATAAAAAAAATATACCATATGATAGGTAAAGACATTAAGCATCTATAATAAAAAAATTATATTGATTTGTTCATTTTTGAAAAAGTTATGGCAGTTTTAAGTAAAAAAATTGAAAAAATTAGCGATTTCTAATTTTGTAATTTTTTTGGAGGTTTCCCCCATTTAAGGGGAACGAGGAACATTTTTTCAATTTTTGAGGGTAATGTCTTCAACTAGATATGATTTGTGATATTTTGACGTATCGTTAAAAGGAATCGGTTCGTTGAGATCTGAGAAAAAGTGGTACCAGACACACAAAAAAAAACACATCATAATAATACCAATACCTTCTCAACTTCGCATCAAAGCTAAAAAATGAAATTTTTAAGATTAAATGCAGTCAGCAAATTTTATAATTACTATTTACAGTAAATTTATCAGAAAAGCTCTATTTTTTTTTTTTGAATTTTTATCATAATAGATCACTTAAATATAAATCATAGTAATCATTTATAATTAACGTTTGGTGTTTAAAAAGATTCAACAATTGAAATATACAGAATTGAATTAATTTTAATGATTTACTTTAACTAAAAAAACCAATAAAAAGAAGTTGTTAAAAAGATCTACTCAATTGAGTGTATTAAAAAATTTGATTATAATCGTAAAAATCGATTGATAAATTCAGGTGAAACTAAAAACCATTTTTTTTTTTAATTTATGATTTATATAATAACATGTTACAAACAATTCGTAATACTATAGACTGGTAGTTCACACAAATAGAGTTAAAAAATTAATAAATTACAAAGTAAAATTATTTACTTTTGTAGTTAGAATACTTTTATCATATCAAATATAATTCGACAATAAATACTTTAAAAATATTAGAAATGAATGATTTTAATTGTTTGTATGGAAAAAGCTGGTTAAGCTACTTTTTATTTGAATAAGGAATTTTTTTTTCAATTTTTAAGGGTAATATTTTCAACTAAATACGAATTTTAATTATTGGCGTATCTTTGAAAAAAGTAGGTCGAGTGTTGGCAAAATAAATCGTAGCCAACAAAAAAACCACATAGTAAAATAATATTAACATGAATAAGAAAATTCTTCTCGCGAGGGGAAACTATAGTTTAATTAAGTTGTTTTGTTAATTTTTAAAAAGTTATGGTAGTTTTAAGAAAAAAAAATGACAAAATTTATCGATTTGAAAAATTGTAATTTTTTTGGTAATTTCCCCCATTTACGTGGAACGAAGGAAATTTTTTTCAATTTTTAAGGGTAATGTTTTCAACTAGTTATGATTTGTGATCTTTTGACATATTGTTCATCAAAATCGGTCTAGTAAGAGCTGAAAAAAAGTGGCAACAGATGAAAAAAAAAAAACTCATTATGGTAAAATCAAACTTTTTCAGCTAAAACACATTTTTCAATCGTTTAAAAAAATTTTTTTAGTTATTTTTTTATTAACCAAAAATATAAAAAGATGAATCCGAAGTTTATACTATTCAACATCCTATGGTTTATACAAAACAAGATATATTCAAAATATAGACTAGCAACGTTATCAAGAAAACAAGTATTCATAGCAATAACACAGATATCATATGTATATTTAAAAATATCACATTAAAAACTCGTTTTAAACGTTTATGAATATAAAAACTTTTTTAAATAATAATACCATATAACTCGACTTGATATTAGTTTAAAAATTATTTATTATTGGGGAGATGTTGGAGGAAGCTTCCGCGGTTTAGTAAGCATTCCATAATTTCAGCAACTCCTGAATTTTTGCTATAGTTGCGTCTATGATGTTAAAACATTTTATTTATAATTTGTTACTGATGAAAAAAATAATTCATTTTAATTTTCTTTTTCAAAATTTCTAAATATTAACTCTACTTACATAAAATATTAGTAGGTCGATAACAACATTAAGATAAGTATTTATTGAGTTTTTCGAAGTAGTTAGTATGCATCAACCTTTACAATTGGATCAAAAGTTACAAGTGATGTCAGAACGTTATGGGGCATTATATCTATATATAAAATTACGCCACTTAAAAAATTATCAGTAGCATATATTTTTAATGGTGTGCAAACATTTCAGTGATCCACATTTATTTATTTTCTTTTTTAGCTATTTTTTTTCAGTAATTTTTTTAGGTTTTTCTAAAAATATAGGTTTTTATGGGTTTAGTGGTTCGAGCACTGCTTAAAACCAAGATATATTGGTTTTTTGTTATCAAGAAATTTGTGCATTGAATATTGACATTTTTTTTTTTTTTTAATTTCATTTCATTTTGTTGTTGTTATATGGAATATCCTAAAAAATAATTTCATTATTATTTATACAAATATAGAATACACTTTCATCGTCCCAAAAATACCGTAAAATTGACTAATACATTTTTTTATCATGGAAATTACGATAAATTTTTCAACAAATTTTAGCTGAAACGCGAAATATTGAGTTACAATTGTATCATTTATGTTTAGCAATGATAAGTTAGATATTAATGATACAGTTAATCAAAAATTAGCCTAAATGATTTCAAAATTAAAATGTAGTCATGAAGGTAGTTTTATAATTCACACCTCGATTAGATTTAAATTTAAGCAATTTGTGAATTTTAAATTCTAATAATTAAAATTAAAACTAAACGAATAATTCCAGAACAAATAAAAATACAATTCATAAAAAGAGGTTGTATTATGAATTATACTTTAACTTTGTTCAAGCTAGTTCTTTTAAAAGACTTAGCTTAAACAAACATTTTATATCATTATATTATATAATAAAAAAAACTTAATTTATTTACTATATTAATTATAAAAAACACTATTGAAAAAAGATATTGGTAGTATGTTACATAATTAAGTTATTTTTACATAAAAAATAAAAAGCGAGATTAAATAAAGTTCTTAATTTAAGCGCCTAATATAAGATAGTGATTATGTGAATAAAGTTTTTTTTTTAATTAAATAATTTGTTTAACTATAATTTGATAATTTAAATGGAGCAGATATTCAACATTTTAAAAAATTAAATACAAAAGTATTTATGTAAATACACTGCTGTTTTATTCCTAAAATAAATATTTTTACTATATTATCTTACTTCAATCAAATTGTAAACTTTCAATATAATATAACGTATATAAATTAGAACTAATTACTGTGTGATAAACAAAAAACTAGCATGTCTAACAAATTTAGATACATATAGACTCTAAAAACAAAAATTCTAACTTAAATTAACTTCAAGCTCATAAATAATTTAAAAAAGAACTCAATAAATTTATGAATCTGAAAAATCCTTTCATTCGTAATATAATAAAATCAATAAAAAAACATTAGTTTTAGAATTATTTTCAGAGCTAATTTTAAAAGATAAAATGTTTTAATGTAAAAGAATGATTAACTTTTTTTTTTAATGTAATAGAGTAATATTATCCAATTTCAGATGAGTTTCTAAAATATTCTAAATAAATGCACTAGTTATATCAAATATTAAGGAATATTTTTCAAAAGTTTTAAAACAAAATTCAATCATTTTTATTTTTGTTGATTAAAAAATATTTATTACATAAATTTCAGGAGCTTTAGGGGCACAATCCTCTCTAAATATAGTTTTGATTAACTCTAAGATTCAATAAGTCACATATTCCAAGTTAATACAAATATATTTCTACATAAAACATTTTGATCTTATTAATAATAAAATTATTATATCCTAAAATCAAATATAAAAATCATTGCAAAAAATAACTGTGCCAAGTGAATGTATTAAATTTAAATTAATCATAAACACATCAAGTAATAACTTGAGTTTTTTTAAAAAAGTGATATTAATAAAATAAATATTTAGATATTACATGTAAATTATAAATTATTTATTTTTTATTTATTAAAAAAAGAGCACATTTTTAATAATATTACATTTTTATTTTAATTAATAATTTATAATATATTTTATTTTCTTGTGTAGAAACAGATTTTATTAAAACAAATGCATATGTATTTACATATTTATTTAACAGAATATTATATTACTTTATGCTAGTAATTTATTTGTTTTAAAAGTAGTACCAATCAATAAAGAACCTTGCATAGCAACTAGGAGTATTAAATAGATATATCATGTAACTATAACATTAATATTACATTTTCAAAACAAGTTAGTATATACACATAAAGAATGATACTTTAGTTTTTATATATCCCAATAGACAGGACAAAATAGCATGCAATATTGCAATATAATAAACATAGTACACCCTTTTATTTTTATTCATGATTATATATGACATTTATAAATTATTACTAATATTTATGTATATTATATTAATATAGATAGAAAATAAATAAAATAATTCAATTCAAATCAAATTAATAATTTTATTTTGGTTGATTTTCCTTCGCCATGAATATGTTACAGTAATTTTCATCATCTTCAGTAATATATTCAGCATTATATATTAATTCATTGAAACTCAACATTTTAAATTCAATTGGATGAATATTCCTATTAAGACATACTGTAATAGTATAATCATGATACAAATATTCATGAAAAACCCAATTATGCATTACTTCATTATTTACATATAATTCTGTGTCCGTTACAAAATCATTTTTTTTCAAATCTTGTTTAGGCACAAAACACACATTTCTGAGATTAATGGTTAATCCAGTACCAATTGCTTTTACATAACTTTCTTTCAAACACCAAAATCTATAGAATGTATTTATTTTTTGTTTTTCAGTACCATTATTAATATAATCCCATTCTTTCAAACTAAAATTTCTGTGCATCAATCTAAAAAATTCACTTAAACTTTTTCCTCCTTTATAATGGTTTCTCATAATATCAACCCCAACACTAGTATTTTTCTCACCTGCAAATACTACTAAACTTTCATCATGGGATACATTGAAATTCAAATTACAATCTTCTATAAAAGGTTTATTGTTTGTATCTCGTTTAATTTTAATATTAGACCAAGGAACACAAGCAGTTTCAGATAAATACTTCATTATCATTAATTGCCCTATGATAGAACTTTTGGCATCTCGTTTGAATACAAATCGACCAATTCTTTCTTTTTCTTCAGATTGAATAGAACGAAATGCATGGGACCATTCATTTTTAGATGGAAACCAATTTTCACAGTCAAATACCCAACGAACCCTGTTTGGTGAAGACATTGAAGACTGCAATATTTTCTTAATAATGATGTACATATAAACTATAGTTTCATACTCAAATTTAACAGCTTAAATAGCACCTTATAACACCTAGACAAAGAAAAATGGACGTCAGTGACGGGGATAAATTGATTTGAAATATACTTTTTATGTAATATTTTATTAATAATAGTAAAAATAGAAATAAACTTATTTAATCAAATTAAAGTATGAGGGTGATATTGTAAGCAGTGTACAAACATCTTTGTTATGACCAACATAAAATCAAGAAATATGCTATTAAAATATTCCCCATATTTCTTCTACACATGTTATGTTTTCTACATTTCACGACACTAATGACAATACCACATATTTAAATTTTTAAAAGAACAAAAAAACTGAATATGTCCTTTAACAATAATTGTCTTCTAGTAATATATATATATATATTGGTATATTAACATATTATTTTGATTGGTAAAATAGATAACTATAAAAAAAATTAGATTATCTATATGTTAACTTAAATTTTGTTTGTTTCGTTTAAATCAATTTGGACAGGAAATAAATAATATTAGATAAATAATAAATAACAAATAAATTATGTGCAAGGAGATCTAAAATACTTTGGTTTAAAAATTTCTTTTTAAAATATATGTGGTAGTGTCAGTAGGCAATACTATTTTATTCAAACACTAATGTATAGAGATTAACTTGTATACAGCTAAAAACCTTAGATCATGTTTTACATTTAATCAAATTTTCTTATATAACAATTAAAATTTACAATTGAAAAGTTGTTGAAGAAAGTCAACTTAACAAAATATCTGACCAATGCATAATATAAATCTTATTACAGAAGAAAAAGATGTGCTCAATGAGTTTCAGATTTCTGTACATCAGAGGTGAAAAATTTCAATTACATACATTTTCTGAAAATATGGTGATACTATTTTCAAACAAAATGACTTAGGATAGTTGACTTTTGATGTACAGATTTTTTTTGAACACAAAAAACGTATATCGATAACAACTCAGCTACATATCTGGTTTCACTAAAAGAAAGATAATAAAGTTGGATTTTCTTATGTTAGATTGACTATTTGCCACACAATACTTACAAACATTTATAAGTTAATTAATTATAAGACTCTCAAAATTTCCATTTTTATAAAAAGAATATTTATTTAAATTTTAAATGTGAGACAAAGTCTTTAACTGTAAAAAAACTAATGTAAGATACACTTTTGTGCTCCAATATTTGACCAAGACATACTAATATGTAAAGAAAACTTGGGAAATTTTGAAAAGAATATTACTTGGTTATTTGTCAATTATAAACAATGTGTTTGTACATTAATAACATTACTGCTTCATACATAAATAGATTAATGTATTAATATATATATATATATATATATTATATAATTTAGAAATTTATAATTAATTATGATGAAAAATTTTTTTTCGCTTTCAGATTAATTTTAAAAAATCATAGAAAACTTCACTTTCTTTTTTTCTTAGATAATATTCCATATCAATATAAATAAATATGGATTTTTTTTAATATCTCATACTAAGCCTTTAAAGACTTTAGCATCATTCATTAAAACATTTATGTGATATCACATAAATCTCCTTTATATGCATACCATGCAATTAGCCTAAACTAAAGAGTTTGTTATGTGAATTATAAGTGAGTGTTGGCCTAGTGATAAAGTTCATTGATATTATACCTTATATTGTAGTTTCAAATTACCTATTGTGAATTTAACTTTCACAGGGTTTGCAATACACTTTTTGAAACCATTGTGCATGCAACTACTACATCATTTTGAATGTATAATTGAACAATTTATAATCAACTTTTCAGAATAAATTCACAGAGGTAACCTTAATAGGACTATTTCAATGAATTTATATATAATGCTTTATGTATTTACAAAGTTTTAAATGCCATGAATAATATTAGAATAATAAAATTTAATTATAAGATAATACTTTAAATACAAGATCATAAAATAAATCAATTCTAGGGGAAGTAATACCATTTATTACTCCCTAATATAATACAAAAAATTGTATTAAAATACTTTATTATTAATTTATTGAATCATAATTATAATTCTTTCAACTATTTATTAGACATTCATGAAAATAATTTTTCAATAAACTTATGATTCTTGTAGTGCACAATGAATTTATGTTTAGAGATCAGGTCATAAAATTGGATTTTTAAAAACTTTTTCTTTGTCATATTCTAGTAAAACAAGGAGAACATAGTCTACCAATAAAAAAAGGATTCATCCAAATTTTTTCCTACTTAGTCATCTCACCATTGGAAAATCAAAAGGTACTATTATATAATGTTTACAATGTTCATAGAAGATAAACCTTTTAATTTACATTCCAAGATGTAGTACTATTGCATGAAAAAATGTTTTAACTTATAATCAATATAAAACAATATTTCTATATCACTTGTGGATGCTCTTAATAATCATTAACATTGATAAAATGAGACAATTAACTATTGTACTTCAAATAAGTAATAAATTCTACAAGCTATTTCTTAGTATTTAAAATTATTTTTTCTTATTATTATTTTGGAATATATAAAATTCTTGCATAATGATAGTTTAAGTTTAACAATATTGTAACATTATTCCCATGAAATTTCACCTGGTAAAGTTTTAAACTTATTATTCAGTAAGGGTCCTACATATTAGGCCAGCCCATGGCCTGAAATGTAATTTTCCCTATGGATCTATGTATCTGAATAAATGGATAGCTAATGACCTACCCAATTAAAAATTACTTTTTCTCATGTTTAATTAAAAATGTGCTCTCTTAAACTACTAATATAGTATCAATTTACTAAAAGAAAACTACTTTTATTGGATAATAAAAACTCCATCATTAAAAATTCAGCATTTGACATTTAATTTTAGGTAAAATATTAAAATTTATCTTATATTACCATTAAGACGTGCATTTTCTGGACCCCTATCAGGTAAAGAAGAAGTCGCTCGGAGTACAGCTTTATCTAACAAAGGTTCATTACAATCAGAATCTAAAAACAAAATATTTATGATTACTACTGACAAGATATAGTTGTTAATCTAAAAGCACAATTAAAAAAGCATAAAACATAAATTTGAATAAAATAATAAAGTTAACTTAATTACTTTTATTAAAAATGAAGTATATTTTATAAAAAAAAATGCCTGTGGTTACACAAAAATTAAATTCATTAAAAAGATTGAACTTAAGTTTTTCTTACCAGCTTTAATTTCACAAAAAGTAAATAGAGAAAAATAAGTTATTGCAATAATTCTCATCATCTTGAAATTAATAATTATATAATTTAATATAAAAAAACACCATTATTTTAATTTAGTTAATAATAACACAAGTAAATATTTAACGATAAAACAAATAAAAAACAAAAATTTGGGCGTGATCTAAAAAAGGTTAAACATTACGCGTTTATAACAACTATTTACTTCGAACTTTTTGATTAAGGAATTCTGTTTAGTTAAAATCACTTAGAAACATGGCTGAGGTGATGGCACTCCCGATCACAAAAAAGACGTGTGTAGCGCCATCTTTTAACTCAAGAAAACTATTCCCATATCATAAATGGACAACACACTTTAATAACTATTAAAATTCCATGGAGTATCATAACAGCCCGGATAGCTCAGTCGGTAGAGCATTAGGCTTTTAACCTAAGGGTCCAGGGTTCAAGTCCCTGTCCGGGCGGCTAATTTTTTCGACTATTTTTAATAATTGAATATTTAACAGTTTAACCGAGTTAATATAGGAGTTTTAAGAATACGGTAATTAACATAAACTTAGTTCTACGATCGATGATAAATATTTTATTTTAATCAATTTACAACTTTACGATAGCCTGCATGCCAAACTAATAACTGACAAAAACCGTACTACGTTTACCAGCTTATTCCTCCACACACTTTTTTTGACAATGGCCACCTTGGAATAAAATTTCATAATCAGAAATTATTTCAAATTAAATAATATAATTGTAATCAAATTCACAAAAAAAGCTTTTTCAACTACAAAACTCTATATGACAATAAATAAAAATGTAGTTAACATCAACTAAAATAATTATGCTGACGCTAAAAATAATAACATCTCTAAAAAAATGTCGCTGAGAACAACTGCCCACCTGTGCCTCTAGTTTAATACGGGCCTACCTATGTATAAAGACATATAAAAATTCAAAATTATACATTATTATAAAGATTTACTGTCAAATACATAGTGTCTTACGATGTCTGAAAAATCCACATCATTTTCTTATAGCAAATCCTCAAAACACGGGGTAGTCAACAAATATTCTAATTATATTACTAGTAACCAAAATCCACATGCTAAATTAAATAATTAACAAACAACAAATTGCTTTTATAAATTAGAATAAGGATAGAAATTACCGTGGGTTTTCTTCGAATAGTAACGGACAGCTCGTTTCAGTTGTTTGCAATTTTTACCGTGGCGACTCTTATGCTGTCGGCACCTACAATCGTGTCAAGGACCTTATCTAAAGACCATTGTAACGGTGACACATTGCAACTTTAATTAATACAATGGTTCCTTTTACTATTTTTGAACCCTTCAATTGAGCCAATCGTTTTCGTTTCTATAATTAAACGAGATACTCCTCATTCCATCATAACGAAAATTGTTAACTAATTTGTTGTACTCCTTAATTAGACATTACTTCCACAATTTTCTGTTCTAGTAAGCTACTGGTGAATCGCCAATTAACAAATAACCGATTGTAAGAAGTATAGGGAAAAACAGTGAGTGTCCGATGCTCTCAATAGAAACTCAGTGGAAGACGCAAATGAAACAAAAGTAGTAATTTTTGACATAAAAATATATACTGACTGGATAACAGCGTTGTAGATAAAAAGTACTGAAGTTGATATTAAAATAGAAAAATTAAATTCTGGAGATATAAGTACTTATAATAAATATTCTACGGATAGTGAACGCAAGTGCAGAGTAAAAGAAGGGAAATTGAGGTTTTACTTCAGAGGACTTGATATATGATATGGTATACTCACCATATAATATATGGTGCTATATATATAGTAAACCGAATTCAGATCATTTAGGTATTGATAAAACTTTTGCCAAAGTAAAAGAGAATTATTATTTTACAAAAATATGAAATATTGTTGTAAAATTATTAAAGGATACACATCCTTTAATATATTTCGACATATAAACTATTCAAAAAGTATTTAAAAGTATTCAAAAAAAAAATTAATTAAAAAACTTATATTTATTAGAAACTTTCATAAAAATCAACTTTAAAACATTATAAAATGGGTTAAAATGACATTTTGAATCAAAATTTTACAAGGATTATTTTTAACATATTAAAAATCAAAATCAAGAATAATTTAAATTCAAAATTGTTTTATATGTAAATACTCTATTTTTACAAACTAGTAATAATCTCAAAAAAGGTGATATAAAAAATGTAATTGTAGATTTAAAATCGGCGAAATTAAGTTTGGAAATGTATATCTTGGCCTTTAATGAAAATTCTTTGTCGACTTATAAATTTTATCATAAGTAAAAAAACAATTTTTTTTAGAATATTTTTGATTATAACTTCTTTATATTACTCAATACTGTTTTAAAACAGAAGTGTTATTTTTTATTATGTGTAAGTGTTAATTATTCTTTAGCAAAAAATGGAAACAGTTAAATGTGTAAAAAACTCAAAAATAAAAATAAACATGTTTACGAAGTCATAAATTGAGGATTATGGAGGAGGTTAAATAATGAAATTATTCCCTCCTCAAAATTTAGTCTGTGATATAACCACAAATTAGATGTTTTATCTAATCTGTGATATAAGAGATCACAGACTATAGTGTATGATCAGATCATAGAGTAACTCTATCTATCTAACTATTATTACTCTATGGATCAGATAGTAGAATTATTGATAAGAACAATTAATACAAATCTTACCGCCAAATCTTTTGTCCGTTAAAAACGTTAGGTATTAGCACAAGACTGATAGTATCACTAGTGTTGGCGTTTTTATTTTTCTGAGGCATTACGTTGTTCGTTTTAATATATAATTATTAATTTTATGGACTGATTATTATTTTAATGATATTCAATTGTATTACATTTGCTGTGTAGTATTCTTATATTTGACAATTTTTTCGACTTCTTATCTATTTTTTTATATTTATAACAAATTCATTTAATGCAAATTTTATTTCAACAAATCAGAATTTTGATTTGTTGAATGTATACAGTTTTATTAAAATAATCATAAATCAGTGTTATTATTACTTGATTTCAATCAATTAAAATAGCTTAAAAAATGGCAGTATCCATAGCTATAGGAAAAAAAAATTGCGAAGAATTATCTGATTATGAAAAAGAAAGGTTGCGAAATATTATGGAAATGCAAGAACAGGTTGGTGCTTAAACAAATTTTTAGATTTTTTATCAACATTTACAATAATTTAATTTACAGTTCAGCGATTTATTTGATGAAGTAAAACGTTCAGCTGATGATTTAGCTATAACTGCAAATGTTCCATCTGGTCAACTACATGTAAATAGGAAACGTTCAAGAAATCCTCAAGGCTGGCGACGTCCAAATAAAATAATTTCGAAATTATCCAATACTTCTGAACGCATTATATGTGTTAGACGATCTGCACGAATCAGAAATGATAATAAGTAGATAATTTACTTATAATTAAAAATATTGGAAAAATTCTACTTTATTTCAACTTTTTTAAAAATTAATTAAATTTTTCATGCTGATTTAAAATATATGTAAAAAAATTTAAAGGTAAACTATAAATTAAAATGTTAAAGCAACTTGAAAATCACAAGTTGACAATTACAAAAATAACAAAATAGAGGTTTTCTTTGTCTATTTTGATTAAAAAACAAAAAAATAAGCTTTGTTTTCACTTATACCTGTTGGTTTCAATGACTAAATCCAGACTATTGGCCTTTCTTTGGATAAGTGCTCTACTCCAAACCCTCATAGGAATAATTTTTAGCTGAAATATAATCAATTTAAACAGATAAAAAAGTTCAGTGATCCAACAAGTTTGAACTGTTACATAAAATGGTAGATCAACATTAAAAAAAGAAACATTGTTATCATCAAGTAGAAGGACAGTAGGTTTTTGCAATTACTTTCAATACATTAATTGTTTTAATTGATGACTATGTTATAAGGACAATCATGGTATTGGACTGTTAGAGAGTATACACTGTTAAAACAGAAACTCTAAAAATATTATTTTTAAGTTCTAGGCTTATGATAATTTGTAAGACCACGATTATTTTTATTTAACTATAAATCATTCTAAAACATTTAACACATTGAAAACAAAAAACTTACAAAATACATCATAAAATAGCATGTGTATATTCTAACATGATTGAATGTACTTGGTGATCAACAAAAGTTTTGATGTCTATCATGTAAAAAAAATAAATATTCACAGTGTATACCTCATTAATAATATTTTCTTAAACAAATGCCAACAAAATAAGATGGTTCTGATTTTAGAATTTTTAAAAATGCAGGAATATTATATAATTCAGATAATTCAAAAAATCAATTATGATGAAAATATAGTAGAAGAAAAATAATAAAGATAATGATGCTGACATAGATACTAATACCTATAATTTTATATGTTTTAAAATTTAAACATTGATTTATTATTTAATAATAATGGTTTCAATTAAGACAATTAGATAGTAACAGTGCTTTCATTAATTCTATATTGTAATACTGTATATACCCCTATAGTCATTAGTCATATGTCTGTTGGTATACTGACACAAAATTTAATGACATTATAATTATACAACCATTTTGTTTTATATTTATGTTTTTTTTATGTAAAAACTCTAATTATTGACTTGACTTGTGAACTTGAAGTTGCTATACTTAAACTTTTGGTTCTATTCAAATGTTTTTACATATTTTGAATTATTATGTAAAACTAAACTAATTAAAAAAAATTTGGTTGATATATTTAGGAAAGCTGACTACAATGATTGCAGTGATGATGAAATCGGAGAAAAAAAAAAACGACAAGGAACAATTCGTGTAATGTTTCCATTTTTTAAAAAAGTTGAAAATCAAGAAAGGGATCAGGAATATTATAATTCCTTAGGTGATAGTGATTTCATACTTAGTGATGACGATATCGAATATGATGATGATGAACCTGTAAGTAATTATAATTATAGTTACAGTTTTATGGAGTATTTTTATTTACTACTTAATTTATTTACCTTGTATTAAATGACATTTAACTAAATCTTCAAATTCAAATAATATCAAAAAAAAGTCGCTTGGTTTTCATCAAAAATGATATAAAACTGGATTTAAATTGCCATATATTTTAGTAAGAACTTTGAAATGTTTGAAACTGATATTCAAATAAAATGCTTTTAGATATTGTTGTTTATCTTATTTAATCCCATATTCTATTAAAATCGAATGACCATTATTTTTACATGAAAGTTTTGTAGGGAATTATGGTGTATAGTTAATTTTTATTTTTATTCAAAACTAATAAAAAAAAACCTCGATTTTCATTTAAAAAAGAAAGTAAATAATACATTTTTCTTTGCACTATACTAAATATAACCTACCTATTAGTTGTAAAAAAATAAAGTAACACCATGATGTATAATGTAACTAAAGTAATTAATATAATTTGATGTCAAATTTCGGTCTATGTCAGTCTCCAAATGCTGATATTTATACATTAATAAATGATATATGACTGTAAAAGTGGCCATGTTTTAAAAAAAATTTATCACTAAAATTGTTTTTTTTTTTTTTTTTTATTAATAAATTGAATGAAGGAGAGCCTTCAAAAATAATAAATTCAGATATTTCCCTAAAAACACATAAATTATTTTGCTAGAATTTTTAACCAAGATGAATATTTTTGCATTTGAGGCTAATTTCAAAATGATTAAGTAGTCATTAAATGAAAATATATATTTGAAGATTTTCTTTTTAATTTTTTAACAGTTTATCAACATTAAAAAAAATTAATTTATAAAATAGATTATATAACAATTAAACTATTTTTTATTTTTTTTTTTAACAATATTTAAGAATAAATATTAAATACTGAAAGTTTTTTGTACTTTTAATTAAAAAAACAGTTAATTTTATTTATATATGATGACTTACATTCAATTTCAATTTCATAAATATATACAGTAAAATTATCTGTGCTATTTGACATGACAATAATGTTCATAGATAAAATTTCATATCTGTAATTAATATTTAAGACAAAGATTGTATTACTTTTGATATATTTTGGTTGGTTTAGACTAATGTTTAATAATGTAAAATAAATACACCAAAAATCAAAATAATAAAAAGTTTTAATGCTCTAGAAATTTTACTTTAAACATTTAATGAATTTTTTTCTTAAATTCTTAAAACAAATTTTTGTTGGACTTAAATGTGTAACAGTATTAAATTTTTGTTCTCTAAAGCGTTCAAAGAGAAAGCGTAATAGTAGCTCAGTTCCTGTAGCACGATTGACAGTTTCACAAGTTACAGAAGAAATGTTGGCAAACATAACATACAGCTCTTGTGGAAAAAAGTATAGTGCAGATAAAGGAACGACATGTCACCAATGCAGGTACATAATATTATAATATAATTAAACATAATAAATTTGTACCTTAGAAGTCAAATGGTGTAAATCCATTGTTGACATTACTAACAATAATATTCTCTTAATGTCATTAGTGTAGTAATGATTAAAATGTTAAGGTGTGCTATTAAATAAATATAAAATTAAATTAATTATATTATTCTATAGCATCGTACATTATGTGGTTAATTGTAATTTAAATTTGCCAATATTATTATTTTAAATGAAACAAACTAAAAATATTGCTCAATAAATAAATAAGTACGAGGTGTGTTCAATAAATATCCAGACTAAAATTATTACAGAAAAACGTTTGATGTTATCGGTAATGTTATTATACCAAAATAAACGAGAGATAATGACCATTATTTAATTTAAAATAATAATCATTATCTTAAATCAGTCATTGAAAATACGCGTTCAAAGTTGGTCGTTTTGTATGAAATCGCGATTTCACAATGGATAATATTACCGTGCAACGCGCGTTTATCAAATGTTGTTTCAATATTGGTAAAAATGCTACGGTAACTTTAGAATTCATTAAATTGTTTTTTGGAGATGTTTCACTAAGCCATTGTGAAATTTTTGAATGGTTCAAACGTTTTAAAGAAGGTCGGATATCCATTGAAGATGACCATCATCCTGGGCGTTCGTCAAGATCAAAAACACATGATACCATTACTCTTGTTCAAAACAAAATTAGATATGACCGACGATTACTGTCAGAGAAGTAGCCAATGAAGTTGGCATATTAATTGGTACTTGTCATTCGATTTTATCAGATGAATTGGGAATGAAAAGAGTGTGCGCAAAATTAGTGCCAAAATTGTTAACTGAGGAGCAAATGGAACATAGCATTGAAGTTTGTTTGGAATTAAAAAATCGGGTTTCTAATGACCCAAATTTTATAAAAATCCATTATTACAGGTGCTGAAACATGGGTGTATGGATATGATCCTGAAACCAAAGTTCAGTCATCTCAAAGAATACTGCAAGTTCAGCTCGTCCAAAAAAATGTCGTCAGGTCCGGGCAAACATTAAAGCAATGCTTATCGTTTTTTTTTTTTTCATTTTTTTGGTTTATACTATTATGAGTTTGTACCTACAGGTCGAACAGTAAATTAATTTTTTTATAAACAAGTACTAGAAAGATTAAGAGAAGAAGTATGCCGTAAAAGGCCAGAAGTGTGGAAATCAAAGTCATGGATTTTGCACCATGACAATGTACCAGCGCATTCAGCACTTTACATTCGTGAATTTTTGGTATCTAAAAATATACTAGTGGTCCTCACTCACCATATTCACCTGACTTATCTCCCTATGATTTTTTGTTTCCAAAACTTTAAAGTACCCTAAAAAACCAAAGATTCGAGGACATCAACAAACTATCCAGAACGCGACACAAAAGCTAAAGGCTATAACTATGGAGGACATTCAAAGGTGTTTCAAAAAGTGGCAAGACGTTGGGATCATTGTATCGAAGCTAAAGGACAATATTTTGAAGGTGATCCATTTAAATAAATTGTAAGATTGAAATACAATTTTTAATAAATTTTGTCTGGGTATTTATTGAACACACCTCGTATAAGATGAATATTTTTTTATAAAATTTATTTTGGCTTCAATGCAAATTTGAGATGGTATTAATTTTACTATTATGGATTTTTTTTTTTTATGCCTGTTACCACTTTTTCCCATCTTTCAACAGACCGATTTTTTTTGATAATATGTCAAAAGATCACAAATCATACCTAGTTGAAGACATTGTCCTTCAAAATTGACAAATTTCCCTTGTTCTCTTTAAATGGGAAAATTCCTCCAAAAAATAACTTTTTAAAATCAGTAAACATCAAAATTATTTAAACTTTTTTTTCTTAAAACTGCCGTTGTCTGAAAATACTACAACCTTAATACATATGTTAAATTAAAGATTATAATACATACAATATGTTAAACAAAATTTGTCCCTAAGTTAAAAAAAAACATGCTATTTTTGTGATCAAAATTTTTTTGATTTTTATTATAAAATACCTTGCAATGGTTTACCACAGTAATGAAGCCATCGATTTTTATTAAAGCTACATGAATTTAACTAACATTGAATATAAATTTAAACTTATTTTGAATATTTTGCATCTTTTATGTTTAGAAAAACGACTTTAAATTTTTAAACTAGCTTAAATGGTCTTTTTAGCTACAAATTAATATAATGTGCAGTGGTCGCATCTTATTTTACAGATTTAACTGCACAGGTTACAAAGTTCAAACCCTTCTTTTCAAGATAACTCTTTTTGCATTTTTTTCTTAATTCTTATTAAGATGAAATAAAATTCAAAATTCATTTGATTTTTATCACATTTAGATTGAATAATTTCAATGAATATCAAGAACACATCATCATTATAGTATCACCTTGTAAGAAAAAATTTCTTATTCATATTAAAATATTTTATTATATGATTTTTTTTATCTGTCATTTTTCTGAGATCTCTTTTGACCAATTTTAATGATCAATATGTCACGAATAGATTTTAATCTAGTTGAACTTATAATCACCAAATATTGGAAAAAACTCTTTAATTTTAGAAATCTAGACCAATATCCATAAAAATAACATAAAAGAGTATATAATTTGTTTTTAAACTAAATTACACAGTAAATTCGTATCACTAAAATGAAACATTTTTAATCAGTATAGACCAAAATATACTTTTTACTAAATCAAATTTTTATGCTGATTTTAATTCTGAAATTAAATTTTTCATATTACCTCTTTTTTTTTTTTTTTTTGAAATTATTACAAATAAAAAAGTGAGTATTTGCACATCAAGTTAAAAAATCACATAAAAGTTAATTAAAGAAAAAAAAACAGCATAGTGGAGACGTTGCATAGTTGGGTCCAGTATAGATTTAATCTGACAGTGATTAAAATCACTATCATAAGAAACGCTTCGATGCAAATCTGTAGATAGTGTTTAATCTTAAAAAATTGATGGATAATTACAAAAGCAACATCAACTTCTATTTCCTTAATTATACCCAGATTAGTAATTCTTTTAATTATATATTATATAATTTTTTAAATTAATTCTTTTCAAATTATTCTTGATTTTGATTTTTAATATGTTAAAAGTAATCATTTTGAACCTACTTTTTATCGTCCTTTAAAGTTAAAGTTTTAATTAAAAAAAAAATGAATTTATTACCATAACAAGTAGCTCAACTTGCAAGTTTGAAATTGACATTATTAAATAGTAAAAAATGAAATTGTTAAGATTAATATGCTATCAGCAAATTTTATTATTACTATTTACAGTATATTTATCAGAAAAGTTAGATTTTTTTACATTTTTATCGTAATAGATCACTTAAATAAAAATCATAGTAATCATTTCTAATTAACTTTTGGCGTTTAAAAAGATTCTACAATGGAAATATTCAGAATTTAATTAATTTTAATGATTACATATCTAAAAAAACCAATAAAAAAAAAGTTATTCAATTTAGCCTATTATAAAAATTATAATTATAAAAAAAAAAAGTATGTCGAATGAAAGATCTATATAAATATTACTTCTCATAAAAAAATTGTAATGATCCATACATCTTTCAAAAAGTTATAGCATTATAAAGTTAAAAAACCCAGCACATGGGGGGTCGCGGCACAATGGTGACGTGGTATAGATGGATCAAGTATAATGATATCTGACAGTGATTAAAATCACTATCAAAAAAAATGCTTCGATGCAAATCTTTAGATACTGTTTAATTTTAAAAAATTGGTGGACTATTCCAAAAGCTACATGATCTGCTAGTTCATTATTAATATCCTAATTAAGAAAAAGTATGTAGAATGAAAAAGGGATTATTAAAAAATATTATCTCTCATAAAAAGATAATGTTGATCCATACACTTTTCAATATGTCATAGCATTATAAAGTTAAAAATGTAAAATACAAAATCGAAAATTTTCACACAAAAATAGCATTTGGTAAAATGCAAATTTTTTTTTTGCATAATAAAGAATATTACATTAGCTTTAATTTAAGATATATATAAAAGTGTCAGCCTTCCGGAACATTTTCAAAAATTAAGTTGAAAAAGTTAGTTTTTGTAAAAAAAATTGCTATTTTAAATCCCCCCTAATGAGCAGGTTAAGTGTTAGATTTTCAAAAAAATGATATCAAATAAAAGGGAAATATCTAAGGTTTTAGTATAAAAAAAAATTATGTTAATTTGTTTATTTTTGAAAAAGTTATGGAAGTTTTAAGAAAAAAAAGTGAAAAAAATGACAAAATTTACCGATTTTTAAATTTGTAATTTTTTTTGGATATCTCCCCCATTTGCTGGGAACGATGGAAAATTTTTCAATTTTTAAGGTTAATGTCTTCAACTAGATTCGATTTGTGATTTTTTGACGTATTGTTGAAAGAAATCAGTTCAGTGAGAGCTGAGAAAAAGTGGCAACAGACATAAAAAAAAAAAAAAA